CTAAGATTTCACAGCGGCCACTGTCAGGGCAGCCATGGAATCAGCGCAGCGGGGTAACCGTTCGCGCTGTTCGATCGCATGTGCTATTATCACATGCATCACCGTCTGCTCGGTTGGTTTCGCGCTTTTTGTCTTCGTCAGTCGTTGCTCGCCACGTGTCACGTTATCGCACAGCTGCACGGCTCCAGACGGCACTAGATCAGATTCTCCTATCGAATTCTCGAGGTATTTCGTTCGTATTCTCGAAACAATTTACAATTTTGTTGAACGCAAACCGAAAGGCGATGTCGCCGCTAACGAGCCGCAGCAAACCGAAGGGGGAAAGAGATCGCAGCCTATCGTGCAGGCCGAAAGCGCAGAGCATGACTTAGCGACAGGAGGTCCCGGGATTCATGGTGATGAGATAAGTGAAAGAACTCGCGGATCTCGAGGAGAAGAGTTAGTAGGGACTGACGGCCAACGGACTGGCGGCATGGGGACTGACGGCCAACGGACTGGCGGCCTAGGGACTGACGGCCGAGGGTCTGACGGCCGAGGGACTAACGGCCAAGGGACTGACGACCAAGGGACTGACGGCCGAGGGCTAGGGAGAAGCGGCCAAGAATCTGGGAGCGGCGCGAGATTGTGGCGGGAAGAGACGTGCGAGGGGTCGAATGGGGACGCGGAGTGGCTTGCAGCATGGGCGGCAAACTCGCGGGATGTGAACGCGAGCATTGCGGCTCACCTGGGCACCGCCACCAGGTGAATCTTCAGGTGAATGTTGGGTGGTGGGTGAGAGCGTGCATCGATATAAATCAGAATGCGTATTTGTGCACGAAGAGTGCATGAATTGTATACACGCATATGATGCATGGAGAGATGGTGTGGAAGGGGAAACTGGACGTTGTAGCCAGGTGCTTCTGGGTTGCGTTTGAGAAACTTCAACAGCGAGTTAGAATCAGGATACGCTGGAGGATTGGTCAAAGAGGTTCTCCTGAAGGCCTTAAGGTTCTTTTGCCTGAGCCTTATCACAGCGAGCTGACTTCTGGGGTCGACCTCAAAGGCCTTGAAACTCTTGAAGTTCTTTACCGTGAGCCTTATCGCAGTTGTGATCAGTCACCAAAAACCCTCTCTCGTGTTCCCTTTATGCCCTCCCGTTCCCTGGCCCCTCTGCCCCCTTGCCCCCTATCCCCAGGTACGAGGACTCACTAGCAGCAGCGGGCGGGCCACAGTACCTGCAGCACCTCAACCTGCCGCGCTCCTGCACGCCCATCTACCTCTTCCTCCTCGTGCGCCCTCCCTGCCCTATCTTGCCTTGCCCCACTCTCTGTCCCCTTACTTTGAGTATTTCTGTCCTGTACGAGTCCATGCACCTCAACCTGCCGCGCTCCTGCACGCCCATCTACCTCTTCCTCCTCGTGCGCCCTCCCTGCCCTATCTTGCCTTGCCCCACTCTCTGTCCCCTTACTTTGAGTATTTCTGTCCTGTACGAGTCCATGCACCTCAACCTGCCGCGCTCCTGCAAGCCCATCTGCCTCTTCCTCCTCGTGCGACCAACCTGCCCTCCCTACCCTCTCTGCCCTCTCTGCCCTGCGTGCCCTGTCCTCACTGCCCTGCCCTGCCCTGCCCTGCCCTGCCCTGCCCTGCCCTGCCTGCCATGCTGTTTCGTGCTTTCGCCCGCCTTCGTTGATTCTGTCCGTCTCTTTTCGAGTCCAAGGCGGACAGAATCAACACATCAGCTTCACTCCCCACCTGCTCCCCATGCCTTCCCCCCATGTCTCTCTATCGCTCTGCTCCTCATCCCCCCCAAGTTTCCATATTCCCATGCTCCCCATTCTCCCCTGTGCCGCCTACCTTTCCTTGCACTTTCTGCCCTTCTTCCCGTCCTTCCCGTCCACATCCCTCCCATCCCCGCCCGTCTCTCCCACGTTCGCCCATTCCAGGCGAGGCACAGAGCCAGGGAGCCCACCAAGCCGGGCATCCACCAACTCAACAAGATCAAACCACCCGTGAACGGCCCTTTGCTGCCTCGCTTTCTGTTGCCTTTTTCTGCTTCGCTGCTGCCCTCTGCTCCTCATGTATGTTCCCGTCCCCTCATGCCAGGCGAGGCACGGAGCAAGGGAGCCCACAAAGCGTCGTGTGCACCAACTGAATGAGCTCGCCCCCAAGCTCAGACGTGCCTTGGCTGCCCTTGTGCCATCCTGTGGTGCGCATGTGTCTCCCGCTGCTGCCCTCTGCTCCCCATGTCACCGTCCCCTCATGCCAGGCCAGGCACGGAGCAAGGGAGCCCACCAAGCGTCGTGTGCACCAACTCAACGAGCTCGCTCCCAAGCTCAGACGCACCTTTGCGGCTGCCACCGCTGCTGCCACCGCTGCTGCCACCGCTGCTGCCTCCGCTGCTGCCTCTAAATTTGCTGCCTCTGCGTCTGCTGCTGCCTCAACACCTGTCCCTCCAGCCACCTCTGCCTCTGTTGCCTCTCCTGCCGATACCTCTGCAAGTAAATCAGCAGCAGCCCAGTCGCGTCTAAGCCTCCCCCAGTGGATGGGAGGGTACCAGTCGCCATGGGAGGGCATGCAGGGGGGCGGCGAGCTGCTGAGGGAAGGAGAGGAGGAGCTGTACCGCATGGGGGGGCGGTTCAGGAGGCGTTTTCCCTCTCTTCTTGGGGGCGTGTATCACAGCAAAGCAGTCAAGCTGTTCTCAACTCAGGTGAGTCACTGCTGAGTCTCCCCAAGTGGATTTGAGGGTACCGGTCGCCATGGGAGGGCATGCAAGGGGGCGGCGAGCTGCTGAGGGAAGGAGAGGAGGAGCTGTACCGCATGGGGGGGCGGTTCAAGAAGCGCTTTCCCTCGCTGCTTGGGGGTTCATATCACAGCAAGGCCGTCAAGCTGTTCTCCACTCAGGTATGTGTTCTTCTAGTGTGTGTGCCGAGGCAGGGCGAGTTGCTGAGGGAGGGCGAGGAGGAGCTGTACCGCATGGGGGGGCGGTTCAAGAGACGCTTTCCCTCTCTGCTCGGGGGTTCATACCACAGCAAGGCCGTCAAGCTGTTCTCCACGCAGGTGGGTGGCCTCTCAGTCTCCCCCAGTGGATGGGAGGGTACCAGTCGCCATGGGAGGGCATGCAGGGGGGAGGCGAGCTGCTGAGGGAGGGAGAGGAGGAGCTGTCTGTACCGCATGGGCGGCGATTTAAGAGGCGCTTTCCCTCTCTGCTCGGGGGCGTGTACCACAGCAAGGCAGTCAAGCTGTTCTCCACGCAGGTGTGCGTGTGTGTGTGTGTGTGTGTCGCAGGGACTGTGGGTTTCTGTGTGTTGAAGGGGAGGCGAGCTGCTGAGGGAGGGCGAGGAGGAGCTGTATTGCATGGGAGGACGGTTCAGGAGACGCTTTCTCTCTCTCTCCTTGGGGGCACATATCACAGCAAGGCCTTTAAGCTGTTCTCCACGCAGGTAACGTGCTCTTCCCGCAGAGGGGTTTTGGGCCGAGGGGGGAGGCGAGCTGCTGAGGGAGGGCGAGGAGGAGCTGTATTGCATGGGGGGGCGGTTCAAGAGACGCTTTCCTGCTCTGCTGGGCGGTTCGTACCACAGCAAGGCTGTGAAGTGTGCTCCACCCAAGTGGGTGGGTGTGTGTGCGTGCGTGCGTGCGTACGTGGCCGTGAAGGAGAACGCCCAGGGGCCGTTGGATCAAGGCTGGGAGGTGCTGTGGGGGGAAAAGCCCAAGATATCAACAAGTTAGTTTTCCAGTCACCAATGTTTCCTTCTCTCTCCTCTCCTCCTCCCTTCTTTCAGGTCGCGCGGTCAGCAGCCAGTGCTGTGGCCTTCGCCATTGGTAAGCTACAAGGCACGGGCTCCCTCACTTCCGCGCGCCTCCGTGCTACGGTTGAGCACTGGCCGGGCCGGGCCCGGCCCTGGTCGTTCCGTGCCGGGCTGCCCAAAAAAGCGGGCCGGGTCGGCCCTGCCCGACCCGGGCGGTGATGGCAAAACCTCGGCCCGAGCCCGCCCAGAAGGTGGTCGGGCCGCAACCGGCCCGACCCGGGCTGTGTATGGCCCGACCCGGGCCAGCCCGGCCCGGCCCGGGTGATATTACAGTATAGGCTTCAGGGTTAAATTACTCTTTTTTGATAGCTTCAGGGCGAAACCCCTGAACAAAATTGTATTGCACGGCTGTTCTGATCTCGTCGTGGAAAAAGGCTGTATCGCGCCAAACAACGTCAATTCTAGATTAACTTATAGTTAAGCCTAAACCAGCTAAGAGAGATCGAAGACTATGGTGAGAAGGGAAGGGAGACAAACTAGGTCGAAATAGAGTCTGCGCATGATGTCGCGCAGCTAAATTTTGACCCTCGCGACATTTGTAGTGGGGGTCAAAACCGGGCCAAAACAGCCCGGCCCGGCCCGCCCCAGGCCGACAGCCAAATTTTGAGGCCCGGCCCGGGGCGTTTCCGGGCCGGCCCGACCAGGGCCGGGCCCAGCACGGTTCTTTGCTCATCCCTACTCCGCGCCTTCCCGGTGATCTCCGAGACGCAGGAGGGCGACACGAAGCTTCGGTTCCACAACCTGTGCGGCGCGTACGTGGCCGTGAAGGAGAACGCACAGGGGTTTCTGGATGAGCTCACAGCATTCACTCCCCCCCCCCCTCCCCCCTTCCCCATCCCATCATCCCCTCAGGTCGCCCGTTCAGCAGCCAGTGCTGTGGCCTTTGCTATAGGTATGCTAGAGGGATCTGGCTCCCTCACGCGCGCACGCCTCCGCGCATTCCCGGTGATCTCCGAAACCCAGGAAGGCGACACGAAGCTGCGGTTCCACAACCTGTGCGGCGCGTATGTGGCCGTGAAAGAGAATGTGCAGGGGCCGCTGGATGAAGGCTGGGAGATTTTATGGGGGGAAATTGCCCGCGATATTAACAAACAGCTTGGATTAGTCCCTGAATCACCTGAGGCACGAAAGAAAGAGGAGAGGGTGCGAGGGGAGGTTGCAGGGGATGGGAATGAACAGCTGGGGTTGGGATATGGGGGGTTGGAGGGGAATGGAATGGACGGTCAGGATGCGGGCCTGGAGGCGTCTGGAGCTGATCTGACGGCGTACGATGTGAGTGGGCTGTGGCTGCAGTGCAAACACGAGGCAGGGGTGCTGCTGAGAGGGGGAGGGGAGAGAGGAGGTGAAGGTGAAGGGAATGATACTCACACACGAGCACACACCAACACGAACCAGGGAGGTGCCGAGTCTGATAGGCCGGGCTCGGCCTCCCGCGCGTGTGGCCTGTTCTCGGCGCGCCACCTGGCAGTGCTGGAGTGGATTGATGACGTGGACACGTTCATGCAGAAGGGGTATGGGCGGGAGATTAACTACCACATGGGTCTAAATCTGCTCCAGGAACTAAGTGAGCGAATGGTCAATGCGCGGCTTAGGAGGCTGTGGGAGGAGGAGCGCTTGGAGGGGGTGGAAAGGGAGGGGGAAGGGGGAGTTGGGGGGGGTGGGGGGAGTGGGAGGGTGGAGGTGGAAGAGGGAAAGGTGGGAAAGGTGGGGAAGGAGGGGGAAGGGAGGGTAGGGAAGAAGGGGAAGAAGGGGAAGAAAGGGAAGAAGGAGAAGGATGGGTGGAGGGATGGGGTGAGGGAGAGGGCTGCATTGCACTTTGGCCATGCCGAAACAGTCATTCCTTTTGCGTGTCTCCTGGGACTGTACAAGCCAGACTCCTCTAATAAGGCCGCCAATAAAGAGGACGGAAGCGACCACCAGAATGGAAACCAGCAGCAGCAACAGCAGCAGAAATTGGAACAGCAGCAGCAGCAGCAGCAGCAGCAGCAGCAGCAGCAGCAGCAGCAGCAGAAGGAGGAGAAGGAAGGGCCCCACCATGACAAGTATGATGTGCTAATGGCGAAGGTGGCCACTACAATCACACAGCAGTTCGCCCCACCGGTGCCTCTGCCGCCTGCCCCTCCATTGCACCGGCGCTGGCAAGCCAGCCAGATCGCACCCTACGCTGCCAACACTGCCGTCGTGCTTTTTAGGTGTGTGCCCTATGTGATCTTTGAGTAGACTTAAAAATCACCCCCTCCGTCGCACCGGCAGTGGCGGGCCAGCCAGATCGCACCGTATGCTGCAAACACTGCTGTTATCCTCTTCAGGTGCGTGCAGCATTACCGTCATTCGCAGGCTACAGCAGGTTCTGAGTTGCACCGTATGCTGCCAACACGGCCGTTGTAGTTTTCAGGTGCGTGCAACAGGTGTTTTTTTAGGCAACTTAAAGTACACCCCTGCCCCCGTCCATCCCACCGGCGGTGGCAGGCCAGCCAGCTCGCTCCTTATGCTGCCAACACGGCTGTCATCCTCTTCAGGTGAGTGCCGCAGGTGATTAGAGTCGATGGAAAAGTCGCCTCCGCCCCTCCATTGCACTGGCGCTGGCAGGCCAGCCAGATTGCACCCTACGCTGCCAACACTGCCGTCATTCTCCTCAGGTGTGTACAGCAGTCTGCAAAATTTGATTCGACTCGGGATTCACCCCCGCCCCCCCAAATCTCTGGTGGTGGCGGTCCGGTCAGAGCGCACCGTAAGTACGTCGCCAACACGGCTGTCATCCCCGTCAGGTGCGTGCAGCAGGTGCATGTGCATGTCGCAGGTGGTTAGAGTCAAAGGAGAAGTCACCGCTGCCCCTTATTGCCCTGGTGGTGGCGGTCTGGTCAGATCGCACCGTAAGTACGTCGCCAACACGGCCGTCATCCTCGTCAGGTGCGTGCAGCAGGTGATTCCAAAGTGGACTTAGAAAATACCCCTACCCCCCTCCGTCCCACCGGCGCTGGCAGTCTGGTTAGATGGCACCGTAAGTACCACGCCACACAGCCGTCATCCTTGTGAGATGCATCGCACGGTGCGATCTGATCGCACAGTCATCCTCGTCAGGTGTGAGCAGCAGGTGATTTCAAAGTCGACTAATAACTTACACACACACCGCAACACTTCAGGTGCGGTCCCAATGGGACTGATGGCCTTCACGGTTCAAGCAATGCTGCTTCCAACTCTGGTGCTTGTGACGGGGGTGGTGGTGGTGGCAATGGCGGTGGTGGTGGCAACGGCAGCAACAGCAGTGGAGGAGGAGAGGAAAATTCTGATGGAAAGTCCCATGCAGATGCAGATGCTGATGCTAGAGCTGCGGATGATGTGGAGGCGAAGGCGGCATTCACAGATGGATTCTCCGTGGCAGTGATGCACAACGAGCGCTTCGTGCCGCTGCCGGTGAGCTGAGCTGCTTGTTCATGATGGTTGGGGGGTCCATTGACTGGTTGGGCTCACCTCATAGGCATGGGCAATTGTACTGTTTGCTGTTGCAGTGGCAGTGATGCACAGCGTGCGCTTCGTGCCGCTGCCGGTGAGCTGAGCTGCTTGATTGCGTGCTGCTTGGGTTGGTTCAGTGTGCCATTTGCATGTTCGCTATGTGTCTGCTCATTGCATAGCTTTTGCTCATTGCTCACTCGCTCCCGCACCTTGTTCCCTCCATCCTCCACATCTATTCCCATCCTTTTCATCTCTCTCTGTATGTCACTTGCAATGAATCTACTTTGTTATCCATTCCCGTGCGCACAATATTTCTCTTGCTTCCTCCTCGCATCCCTTTGTCCTCCTCCTATGCATCACTCTGTGCCCCTCTGCGTCCCTCTGTGCCCCTCTGCGTCCCTCTGCGCCCCTCTGTCTCCCTCTGTGTCTCTCGTGTGACCCCCCTCAGCTGTGTGGAGGACGGGTTCTCTGCCCCTTTGCTACATTCCAGGTGCCAAACCTTCATCCGTATTTGTTCTTTTTGCTTGCTCTTCCTCCTGTTTTTGGCATCATGTAACAAAACTCCTCACTGTTCTGACAGCGCGTCTTTGCATCCACGAATGCACACACGCACACACATTTGCAAGGACACATTGACAATCCATCTTTGCATGTCTGTCCTAATCCCTGGCGTGGGTCAGACAGTGCTCTGTTCTGTACCAATCCCCTTTCCCATCATTTATCTACCTACTCATTTGCAGAAAGCGGTTCTTGAGGCGTATCTACAACACACTTACGAGTCTGTCTGTGCGTGGTCGCCTCCATGACATGGTATGCTTGCGTACAAATTAGCACAGCATGTATTTGTATTCACCAGTGTACCCACGCAAATGTACATTTATATAGAGATGCATTTGCCATAATGCAACTTTCGCCATTTACAGTTGTGTCCCTCCTATATATCTTTTGTACATTGTTATGTCTGGCACTGCAAGCATGCTCAAGCGTGTGTGTGTGTGTTTGTGTGTAGTTGCGCGCAAGCGCACACGATGTCAGGAAGTGATAATAGGGGCGGCTGCTAGGATGTGCACACGTTCAACTATGCGACGGTCCCTTGCCTGCAGAATAGTACCAATATACCTTTAGCGGAAGCTGGAGAGCGGAAATGGCTAAGGCTAAAACAAGTACCGTCATACCCCGGATAGAAGCGCAGGCCTCGGATAAGCGCCGGCGCTTATAAAAGGATGAGGGCGCTTATATCCGGTCCTCGATTATAAGCGCACCCCTGAAGGCTTACGGATTATAAGCGCCACCCTTTGTAATATTTTTATATTTTTACTGGAAACGCTGTAACGAAACACATTTTGTTGCATCCCCACATTCTGAATTTCGAAACCCTTCCCCCTCGCGCGACTCAATGCCTTCGCGTCCAGTCAGAATGAGCTGTCATGGGGTCAATCTGACTCATTCTGACTTTGTGTGTTGGCAGGGAATCAGCCACTGCCAATTTACGCGAAATTCACAGTCAATGCCCTGTACAATCTCGATTCGATTCAAATCGCAAGGACGAGATGAACACTTTAGTGTTAAAAAACTAGATTTCATATATGTCATTATATAAGCCCCGGCGCTTATAAATTTCCTCAATTATAAGCGCACCCCCTAAAAAACAGTGTTTTATTACAACCCCAGGGGCGCTTCTATCCGGGGTATGACGGTAGGGTGTCTCAAGAACAATTACAGGCTTTAGAAAAAGCCGGAAATGAGTGCACACTGTCATTAGAACTCTCGACAAACAATGTCAGCTCACGAAGACACGACTACTCAAATCACCCTGTACCCGACAATTTTTGCAACGACATGTTCTAGATGGCTTCACGAAGTCTAGATACTACAGCTAATGCTCGTTAGAGCCCCTCCCGGTTGCCTTGTGAAGGGGGACTGTAAGCTAAAACGTCATTTCGTCGGTTCGTTGAGGGTTTCGTCAGGCTTTGCGCGTGCATTTATCGCACACATGGTTACCACTCACTTTGTCCGTTATGTAACAGTGTCGGGTGGCACCTATTGTGACAAGTGCGCGTTACCGAAATCCTTACGAAAGCAAAACTAAACCGTAAAGCCTGATCAACATTTGTTCAACTTAGATTGAAACAGCTGACACACAAAGCCGGGCTAATCACAATCTACCACATGGCCACTCACCCCCGAGCTCAACAACATCCCCTCTAATGCAAATGTGCCCGTTATGTGCACAATCCCAACACTTCACAAATCCTCAAAAACTCCACCATCCCAACCGTGGATCTGCTCACGAGTCCACAAAACCAACTCACACCTGCATCCACTCAGCCGCCTCCACGTACCCGCCCATCGCGGCGCCAACCCCGCCGTCCAGAAGCTGCTGACGGCGGGACGGCTGGGTCATCCAGCCAGGCAGCACTCGGCCCCGCGGACGCGGGGTGTCTGGCGGAGATTGAGCGCGGGGCTTGCCCGCTCCATGCGCTCACGGATGATTGGATTTCGAATGTCGAAGAGGTGGCAAAGGTCACGCGGGGTCACGCTCACGGCGCGAGCGTAGCCGATGAGCATCTCGCAGGCCGCCCGAGCTGTGCGCCGCGCTTCACGGCCCACGGGGTCGGAGTCGTCATACACCGCCTGCATCGTGGTCGGCGCCCTCCATAGCTCCGCCACCAGGCCCACGTCCGCATCATTACGAGTCGGCTCCGCGACCGGCTCCGCGCACGTCGGCTCGCCCTCGTCGATGGCGACGTACTCCGCGGCGGTCATCGCGCCGGTGCCGAGGCCGAGTCCGCCAATGAGCTCGCCGACGTCGTCGATGTCGTCGTCGAGCTCAATGTCGGGGTAAGCGTGGGGGGTTGGCTCATCATCATGCACGTGAGTGAGGTCCATGGACCACGACAGAGGCAGGCAGCCCGTGCGCCACCAGCACCTCTAGATGGTGCGCGCACCGACACTCATCCAGGCGTCGGAGAGCCACCCCAGCACGTCGCGCAGATTGGGGCGATAGCGGGCGACGGCGCTTGTGGCTCCGTCGTCGTTCCACAATGCCGTGAAGGCCCGCAGCCAGTGCTGGCGGTAGCGGGCCTTCGCGGTCGCGATTATGCCCTGGTCGAGGGGCTGCGTGAAGGCGGTTGTGTTCGGCGGCAGGAAGATGATGCGCACGTTGCTGAGGCACGTGGTCCTCATGCCGCAGACGATTTCGCTCCACGCGCACTCGTCCCGCAGCATATGGGAGCTGGCGTTGTCGAGCAGCACCGCGATGTGCCGCCCTTCGGCATACATCGCGGCATTGAGCTGCGACATAAAATGCGTGAACAACTGTTGGAGGGGATTGGGAGGGAGGGAGGTAGAGGGGGGGTGAATAAACCTTAAGATAACACAATGTCATAAGAACACATGCACAATAAAAATCACACTGTCGGAAAACACTTACCGCGCTGGTCATCCAACCCTTGGCGTTGTGCCGCCAGTAGCAGACGGCTTTGGGGTCGTAGTCCGGCCGGAAGTCGTGAGGACGGCGCGCCTTGCTGATGACTAACGGCTGGAAAACATGACTCCCGTCGGCGTTAACGAGAAACGCCACCGTCTTCCGGTCCTTTGAGACCTTGCGACCGGGAATGCGCGCGTTGCTGTATGTTTTCCGAGGCAGCACAGAGAGCCACAGCGCGGTCTCGTCAAGATTGAAGGTGTCGCGCGGCTTGTAGCCGAGGTGAGTAAGAAGCTGCGGCACCTTCTCACGCGCTTCACGCACAGCAGCCATGTCGGCGCTCGCCGCCTCGCCGGTGGCGGCACGGCATCGCACTCCCTGGCGCCGCAACGCACGGCGCACCCAGCCAATGGAGCAACGGAACACGGGCGGAATGCCCATGTTGCGCGCCATGGTTGCGACGTGGTCGCGGATCGTCTGCAGAGTGAGTGGTACGCCCGCGGGGCCAGCGTTGGCGATCCAGCGCGCCATGGCCTGCTCAAGCTTAGGCCATGCGCCACCTCGACGGCGCACTTGATTGGCGGCAGTGGGTTCGGTGAGCGCCCAACGCTCGGCATTCTTCAGGATGCGGCCGACCGTGGAGCGGTCAGGTCGCAGGCCATACTGGGCGTAAACCCAGCGGGCGAGATCTACGTGACGCAGGAGGGGGTGCTCGACGTGATGCGCGCACAATGCGCGCTTGATGTGCAGCGGAAGCTGCTCACGGCGATTAAACCGCGGCATGGTGGGAGGTTGTGGCGGATGAGAACGATGATTTAGTGAATCTGTGCATCGGTTTTTAACTTTGGTTGGAGGACGAGGCCCTTCTGTGCTGGGGCCTGTTCGGTGTGGGGGGTTTGATTCGTGTGGTGGTTGTTCGTTGCATGCACCTTGCTTACAATTTCGAACATGTGGTTGGGTTACCACCAGAGTGAAAATCTGACGTGGGGTAGGCGAACAACGCCTGGTTGTTAATGGGCTTGTACCCCACAAGTGCTGAATATACGTGGCAGCGTGCACCAGCCCAGATGTCTGTTACACGCACCATGATTCTCCCTCCCTCCCTCCCTCCCTCCCTCCCTCCCTCCCTCCTTCTCTCCCTCCATCCTTTCTCCCTCCCTCCCCTTCTCGGCGACCTCCCAGGTGCTCCAGTCGCGTCTGGCTATAGCGAGTACGGATTCGTCCCCGCGCACGTGGACTTTGAGTATTCGGACACGCTCTGCGGCACGGCATGGCGGGACGACTACCTCCGCCTGCACTCCGCCATCCGCAAAGCCAGCGCTGCCGCCTACACCCCCCCTCCCTCTCCCTTCCCCCCTCCCCCTCCCTCCTCCCGCCGATTGCTCTCTCTCGCAAACCCACCACCACCGCTACCACCATCCGCAGCAGCAGAATCAGACCTAGGCCTGGTAAACCAGGCCCCCGGATTCCTCCGTTCGCATTCTCACATTTGACGAGTCCGGTCACTGCGGGGGCTTCGGGGACTTTCTCGTGGGCCTCGTCTCCTCCTTCGTCGCCGCGCTCTTGGACCGCAGGGCGTTTGTGATCCGCCATGACTGCATACAGTACGCCTTTGAGCCCGCATTCATCGACTGGCGCCCCTCCCCTGATGTCCCCTCCGAGCCTTCCCGTCGCACGCGGAACATCAATGAGACTTTCCCGCCGGACGTGATTCCGTATCTGGATCTGAACAACGTCCGGGTGGATCTGCAGGAGTTGGCGAGGTTTAAGGATTTTAGGAATCTGAAGGTGCTGTGGAATCGAGGGATGCTAACGGAGATGCTTACAAAGGGGACGGGCGAGTGGGCCGATGCGCTCCGGGCGACCGGGCTGCGTCCACCGTACGCTTTCGGCTGCATTCTCCGATTCCTCGTCAGGTATGCCCTGCATTGCATTCAAGTACGTACGTACTCCTACCCTAGCCCCTCGCCCACCGTACGCCTTTGGCTGCATTCTCCGATTCCTCATCAGGTATGTATGCTGCCCGTGCATTGCATTCCGGTGTATTGCGTTGATGATCATTCTCCTCTTTCTTGTCAGGTATACCCTCCCTCCATTCCCCAACCACCTCTTCCTTTTCCCCTCCCCACCCCTCACCCCCGATTCCAGGCCCAGGAAGGATGTATGGCCGCTGGTGGCGCGGCTGCTGCAGGAGATGCATTGCAATGGCATGAACGGATATGCATTTTCCAACCACCTCTTCCATTTCCTCAACCGCCCCTCACCACAGGCCCAGGAAGGAGGTATGGCCGCTGGTGGCACGGCTGCTGCAGGAGATGAGTGAGCCGTGGATGGTGGTAGTGGGGGTGCATGTGCCGAGCGCTCACATCTCTTCCGCACTTTCCCTTCCTTCCCCCACTCTCCCCCTATGCCCCACCCCCAATCCACCCCTCACACCTCACCGCAGGCCCAGGAAGGAGGTATGGCCGCTGGTGGCGCGGCTGCTGCAGGAGATGAGTGAGCCGCGGACGGTGGTGGTGGGGGGTGCACGTGCGGATGAGTGACAGTGTGTTTGGAGCCTCCAAGGGCGGCGTCACCGATGCCTCCATGGCTGCTGCTCTAGAAAACGCCGCTCCCATCCTGGCGTGTGCCAAGGTGGGCGAATGCACTTACGAAACCACTTTCATTTCGTCCAGTCGTTTCGTCAGGTTGACTCCTGGCCTAGAAACAAGGGAAACATGGGTCGGCACTGCTTGTTGTGGTCTGCACGTGGGGGGGAGGCCGGGCCGCGTGCACTGTAGTTAGCCATCCATGTGCCTGTACATGGGGTGCAGCAAGCAGGGGTTTCGACCTCGGGGGCAGCGTGTCCATCCGGTGCATGGCAAATTCGCGTGCACTGGTCGGGCATCATGTGTACTGAACTGTACGAAGTCTAGATAATACAGCTAATACCCATTTGATGCACGCCACCTTTTCGGGCGGCATAGCGTTGTTGAACAGCTATGTAACAGGTTAGTTGAATAAACGGCCAGTGAGCAACAAGTTCGCTGAGTCTCGCCACAAGCAAAAATGGGACTGTAATGAGCCTAAAAGTTACGGTTTCAAAATATAAGGAATTCTGGGGATGGCATCCCTTGGTGTGGCTGGGTATTTGTGCAACTGAAGGTGTCTTTTTCTGCATGCTCGTCAAAATGTTCTTTTGGACGAGGGGTCGTTGTCTGTATTCAAAAGCATGAGAAATAGGTTGCGATCGGTGACCCGCAAGTTTGAAGGATTGGCTGAGCGTTGACTGTACAGTATATTACTGTACCATGTCTAGATACTACAGTAAACTACTGTACAAAGTCTAGTGTAGTTGTTTGTACTGTACGTGTATTACGTACACACGATGCCCGTTTGAGCCCCCCGACCTTGCCTTACCATCTGGGCTTATAACCGATTCTTGCAATTCGCGGAGGTTTCGTCAATTCGCTTCGGGCAAAAAGGGCTTATAACAAAATTTTGTAACTCACCGTTGACTGTTTGACTGCAGTCTCATCAGTCAGACTTCCGTTTCTGTGGCTCTTATTGGTCGACGTGCTTGTAACGTAGGTGCAACCTCAGGGCAAAAAACCTACGGGTGCAAGGTTTCGTTTCGAGAAAGGCGAATGCACCGATGCCTTTTCCAACCACCTCTTCCATTTCCTCAACCGCCCCTCACCACAGGCCCAGGAAGGAGGTATGGCCGCTGGTGGCACGGCTGCTGCAGGAGATGAGTGAGCCGCGGATGGTGGTAGTGGGGGTGCATGTGCCGAGCGCTCACATCTCTTCCGCACTTTCCCTTCCTTCCCCCACTCTCCCCCTATGCCCCACCCCCGATCCACCCCTCACACCTCACCGCAGGCCCAGGAAGGAGGTATGGCCGCTGGTGGCGCGGCTGCTGCAGGAGATGAGTGAGCCGCGGACGGTGGTGGTGGGGGTGCACGTGCGGATGAGTGACAGTGTGTTTGGAGCCTCCAAGGGCGGCGTCACCGATGCCTCCATGGCTGCTGCTCTAGAAAACGCCGCTCCCATCCTGGCGTGTGCCAAGGTGAGTGAGCCTTCTTCTGAGCCTTATAGCCAATCACCTGCAAAAACGCTGCCGTTGGGAGGGACTGGGTCGTGGCTGGCTGGGTTGCCATGGTGGTGCTGGGGGTGGTGGGGGTGGTGGGGGTGGTGGGGGTGCACGTGCGGATGAGTGACAGTGTGTTTGGAGCTTCCAAGGGCGGCGTCACCGATGCCTCCATGGCTGCTGCTCTAGAAAACGCCGCTCCCATCCTGGCGTGTGCCAAGGTGAGTGAGCCTTCTTCTGAGCCTTGTAGCCAATCACCTGCAAAAACGCTGCCGTTGGGAGGGACTGGGTCGTGGCTGGCTGGGTTGCCGTGGTGGTGCTGGTGGTGCTGGGGGTGGTGGTGGTGGTGGGGGTGCACGTGCGGATGAGCGACAGTGTGTTTGGGGCCTCCAAGGGCGGCGTCACTGATGTCTCCATGGCTGCTGCTCTGGACAACGCTGCTCCCATCCTGGCCTGTGCCAAGGTGAGATGGGGGGGGGGTGCGACCGCAAGAGAGGGAATCATGACTAGAATCAAATCAGGACAAAAGAAGCAGGTGAATGCTGCAGGCTGCGCCCATCCTCGCCTGAGCCAAGGTAGGATCAGGAGAAGGTTATGCCTGCCAAGGAAGGGAGTGATGAGGGCAGGGCAGGGTGTATGTCCAGTTTCCCTTCCTTCTTCCATCTCCTCCCTCCAGCCTCCCCTTCTCCTTCCAGTTCCCAATCCTCCCTTCTCCCCTTTGCGCCCCCACCCCATGAGGCATGTGAGGCAACGAATTACAGTGCAATGGACGCTGGTAGTAGAATAATATGACATGTTTGTTTGTTTGTTTGTTGTTGTTGTTGTTGTTGCTGCTGCTGCTGCTGCTGCTGCTGCTGCTGCTGCTGCTGCTGCTGCTGCTGCTGCTGCTGCTGCTGCTGCTGCTGCTGCTGCTGCTGCTGCTGCTGCTGCTGCTGCTGCTGTTGTTGTTGTTGTTGTTGTTGTTGTTGTTGTTGTTGTTGTTGTTGTAGTTGTTGTTGTTCTTTTTTTTTTGTTTTTTGTTTTTTTTGTTTTTTTCTGGTTTTTCTTTTGTTTAAATTCTAAATATAAAAAGGTTTCGCGAGGCATGTCAGGTCAAGTATCACAGTGCAATGGACGCTGGTAGTAGGCTAGTACGATATGTGCTATTCCCCGCCACTCTGCGTGCGGTGGATGCTCATCACATCGTCTCACCATCATCTCATCATCCTCTCACCATCGTCTCACCATCATCTCATCATCCTCTCACCATCGTCTCACCATTTCCTCACCATCATTTCATCATCCTTTCACCATCATCTCACCATCATCACCATCATCTCACCATCATTTCACCATCATTTCACCATCATCTCACCATCCTTTCACCATCATCTCACCATCATTTAACCATCATCTCACCATCATGTCACCTTCATTTCACCATCATGTCACCATCATTTCACCATCATGTCACCATCATTTCACCATCATCTCACCATTGTTTCACCCGTCTCACCCACTCCGTTTTCTCTCGGTCCGCCAGGCAGTGGAGGACATGTGGTACCCCCCGCCTCTCACCCCAGCATGTCCCCGCGTCTCTCCCTAACTCTTCTTCCCCACCCCCTCTCCCCCCTCTTCCCCGTTCCCTCAGGCAGTGGAGGACATGTGGTACCCCCCCGCCTCTCACAGTGCGCTGGATGTTCATTACAAATTCGATCGACCTAAAGTTGGCGATACGATCCCGCTTCCCTGGCAAGGTGCGTACCTCTGCTCTTTGCAAATGGTTTCTGGGAGTTTCGTAGAGTGTCAATGGTTTCTGGGGAGCTTCGTAGAGTGTCATATAATCATATCAGAGGTGGATGTTCATCACAAATTCGATCGACCTAAAGATGGCGATCCTATCCCGCTTCCCTGGCAAGGTGCGTACCTCTACTCTGCTTTCCTCCTCTCCAGCTATTTCTCACTGCTTCTGGTACTGCAGATTGTGCCACCTCGATTATTTTGAGGCTACTTGCTCACATCACATCCTAGTGTCGCAATAACAAGTACCTGTTTTGAGTCAACTAAAAAACAGGATCGTTTGTTATTACCAGGGCCTATTTTATCAGGGTAAATCACCCTGATGCCCTGATGAACAGGGTGATTTTTAGGTAGTAACACTGATGGGGTCGGGTAATTTTTTTGGGACCTTCATTTACCCTGATGTGCCAGGCTTTACGTTTATGCTACACTGTCGCCTCAGGGTTACCGATTCTGTTATCGAGTTTTACCCTGAGGGAACGTTCCTGGCCGGTGTCAAACTTCGGGCCAGGCTGCTTGACACGAGGTGGAATAGACAGGCATGGGGCAAAATCGTTTCTTCGTGTCAGACCCCCCCTGGGAAGCCTGACACCAAGCAAACTTGGCCCGAAGCTTGACACGGGCCAAGAACGTACCCTGAAACGAGTTCCAGGTCCCCCCCCCCCCCCCCCCCCCCCCCCCCCCCCCCCTTTCCCCGTAACCTCGGAATCCCTTGTGCCAACTTTCGTAACTGTACAAATCGTCACGAGATTACATGTGTTGGCACGAAGTTGGCCACCATTGGTCAGTTTTGCAATGTCCCAAGTTGGTCAAGTTGTCCTGCATGTGAGCACGAAGAACTCCAGTGTGGCATGTCTGATGATGATAATTGATATTGTTATTGTGTGCCGTGTTAAAAATAATGAAACAAAGGCTTAAAAAATTGTTACACTGATGACCCAGGGTAAAAATGTTTAAACCTGCAAAAATTCTGACAGATCAGGATTTCCAAAGAGGCCTACTCTGATTATAAGGTTTTTGCTGATGGGCAACACTGGTCGTAAGGGTTGGCCAAAACCAAAAATTAGCCCTGGTTATTACCCATCCTTTCAGCCATTACTGTTCACGAGTGCGTGCAGCTCGAGAGAGCAAGCTCAGTAATCACCCATCCGTCTACCTCCTCGTTCCAACCCTCCACTCCCCATAAGCCACCTCCCGCATTCCACTCCTGTAACCCACCCGTGCACTCCCTATCACCGCTACAGTTACTCGAGACTGATTTTTTGCCTCACCACTTGCAATCGTTCAGCAACGAGGACAAAGCAAAGGAGGCAGCAGTGCTTGGCTATAAGGAGATGGTGGCATTTTTTAGTCGACTCAAAAGTCACCTTCGCACTTCACTCCCATAACCCACCCGTGCACTCCTCCCCCCCCCACCCCACCCCCTTCCCTTCCCTCCCCCCCTATAACACTGCTGCAGTTACTGGAGACGGATTTTGTGCCTCACCACTCGCAGTCGTTCAGCAACGAGGACAAAGACAAAGCAAAGGAAGCAGCAGAGCAGGGCTATCGGGAGATGGTGACATTTTTTAGTCGACTCAAAAGTCACCTACGCACTTCACTTCCGTAACACACCCGTGCACCCCCCCCCTGTCAGAATCCCAGCCACTAACCACTTGGATAAAAGGGCTTGTTTATATAGCGGGTGAGTGCGCCCATAACCCCCCAGGCCGACATGCCTGTAACCCTTCCCTAGGATCATCGGGGATCCCCAGTGGACCTCTGACACCCCCCCGCACTGGGATGCCCGAGGTGCACACACCGGGAATCGAACCCGAGACCTTCGCTCTGATACCATGTCAGAATCTCAGCCACTAACCACTGGGATAAAAGGGCTTGTTTGTGTAGCGGGTGAGTGCGCCCATAACCCCCCAGGCCAACGTGCCTGTAACCCTTCCCTAGGATCATCAGGGATCACCAGTGGACCTCTGACAACCCCCCGCACTGGGATGCCCGAGGTGCACACACCGGGATTCGAACCCGAGACCTTCGCTCTGATACCATGTTAGAATCCCAGCCACTAACCACTGGGATAAAAGGGCTTGTTTATATAGCGGGTGAGTGCGCCCATAACCCCCCAGGCCGACATGCCTGTAACCCTTCCCTAGGATCATCGGGGATCCCCAGTGGACCTCTGACACCCCCCCCCCCCCCCCCCCCCCCCCCCCCCCCCTCCTATATTGCTGCTGCAGTTACTAGAGACGATTTTGTGCCTCACCACTCACAGTCGTTCAGCAACGAGGACAAGAGGACAAGGCAAAGGAGGCAGCAGCGCAGGGCTATCGGGAGATGGTGGCTGAGTGGCTCCTCCTGTCGTCCTCGATTCATCCTGCAACTCCTTTGTTCTCACTACTTTGTTGGGGTTTAATACACCTCACATGACCCACCTGTTCACTCCACTCCCCATAACCCACCCGTGCACTCCCTATCACCGCTGCAGTTACTGGAAACAGATTTCATGCCGCACCACTCGCATTCATTCAGCAATGAGGACAGGGACAAGGCAAAGGACGCAGCAGCGCAGAACTATCGGGAGATGGTGGCTGAGTGGCTCCTCCTGTCATCTAGCAACTCCTTTGTTCTGCCCGTCTCGGGATTTTCCACCTATCCACTCTAGGCCTCACAACCCACCTGTTCTCTCCACTCCCCTCAACCCACCCCTGCACTCCCTATCACCGCTGCAGTTACTGGAAACAGATTTCGTGCCGCACCACTCGCAGTCGTTCAGCAACGAGGACAAAGACAAGGCAAATGACGCAGCAGCGCAGGGCTATCGGGAGATGGTGGCATTTTTTAGTCGACTCAAAAGTCACCTTCGCGCTCCACTCCCTTAACCCACCTGTGCACTCCTTCCCCCCCACCCCCACTTCCCTTCCCCGCTCCCCCCCCAAATCACTACTGCAGTTACTCGAGACAGATTTCGTGCCGCACCACTCGCAGTCGTTCAGCAACGAGGACAAGGACAAGGCAAAGGACGCAGCAGCGCAGAACTATCGGGAGATGGTGGCTGAGTGGCTCCTCCTGTCGTCTAGCAACGCCTTTGTTCTGCCCGTCTCGGGATTCTCCCGCACCGCCGCCATGTATTCTCTGAATGCCATGGCTCTTTTCACGCCGCCCCATTACTGCGATCCGGAACAGCCATATCCGCAAACAGACTTTGGAGTGGCGTACAGTGGCATATAACTCTGTTATAGACAGTTTCATTATACCCCATTACATTCTGCACCGCTGCCATGTATTCTCTGAATGCCATGGCTCTTTTCGCACAGCCTTATTACTGCGACCCGAAACAGCCACATCCCCAAACAGAATTTGGTGTCGCATTCAGTGACATTTGAATCTGTTATAGACAGCTTCGTTTTAACCCATTACATTCTGCACTCTTTTATAACCGTTTATGTAGAAGCATTACGGTACTTGCTGTGTTGGCCAAAATATCAACAAGTATTTGCATCAGAGTTGTCGATATAATTTGAATGGTAAGGCTGCATTGTTCATACAGAATAGACTTCTTTTGTTGGGGGTATTACTGGGTTCTGCGTTAATTGATAATGATATGATGATCGCCACTGCTCCTGTCCAGCGGGTTTTGAGTCAACTCAAAACTCTCCTACCATTCAGCAGTCGTGAGTTTGTTTTCATAAGATTTGGTTTTCTCCCACACCAGAAATTGGTTTCCAGAGGCAGCGGGGGTACCATTAGTACCCAAAAAATGAAAAATACTATGTACTATAATACAAGATAATACGGTACCATAACCATATCTTAAATCCCACTGTAAGAAATCCCAAAATCCGTTTGCTGATGTGGCCGTTCCGGGTCACAGTAATGAGGCGGCGTGAAAATAGCCATTGGTCTTAAGGAATACATAGCAGCCGTGCGCGAAAACCCTGAGATTGGAAGAACGAACGAGTTGCTGGACGACAGGAGGAGCCACTCAGCCACCATCTCCCGGTAACCTTGCTCTGCCTCCCTCTTTGCTTGCTCCTGGTCCTTGTCACCAAATGCCTGTGAGTGCCGCGGCACAAAATTTGTCTCGAGAATCTGCAGCAGCGATAGGGAGTGCACAGGAGAGTTATGGAGAGCGGAGTGGACAGGTGAGTTATGGGGAGTGTGGAAATCGTGAGATGGTCAGGAAGACAAGGAGTTGCTAGACGACAGGAGGAGCCACTCAGCCACCATCTCTCGATAGCCCTGCTCTGCCTCCTCCTTTGCCTGCTCCTTGTCCCTGTCGCTGAATGCCTGTGAGTGCCGCGGCACGAAATCTGTCTCGAGAATCTGTAGGAGTCATGGAAAGCGCACAGGTGGGTTATGGGGAGCGGAGGGGCAGGTGGGCTAAGGGGAGTGGGGTAGTCAGGTGGGTAATGGGAAGTGGGTGGACGGGAGTTGCTAGACGCCAGGAGGAGCCACTCGGCCACCATCTCTCGGTAGCCCCGCTCTGCCTCCTCCTTCGCCTGCTCCTTGTCCCTGTCGCTGAATGCCTGTGAGTGCCGCGGCACAAAATCTGTCTCGAGAATCTGTTGGGAAGTGCACGGGAGGGTTGTGGGGAGCGGAGTGGACAGGTGGGTTATGGGGATTGCGCGAAAGGTCTGGGATGGTGAGAACAAAGGAGTTGCTAGACGACAGGAGGAGCCACTCGGCCACCATCTCTCGATAGCCCCGCTCTGCCTCCTCCTTTGCCTTCTCCTTGTCCCTGTCGCTGAATGCCTGCGAGTGCCGCGGCACAAAATCTGTCTCGAGAATCTGCAGCAGCCATGGGGAGAACATAGATGGGGTATTGATGGGCGGGTGATGGGGAGTGGGGTGGACAGGTGGGTGATGGGGAGTGGAGCAGACAGGTGGGTTTATGGCAAGCAATTTATGGGAGCAAAGAGGTAGATGGATGGGTGATCACTAAGCATGCACACGAGATGCAGTCATACGTGAAGAACAGGTGAATATATGGGTCAATATGGGTCAAGATGGGTAAACATGGTTCAACATGGATGCCCCTACTAGGTGGTAGCAGGATCAGCGAGACACAGAAACGAAGCGGGGAGTGGGATATGATCTAGGCACTGACCTTGCCAGGGAAGTGCGACCGAATGGCCATTTTGAAGTCTATTGAGTTGGTGATGAGCATCCAGCGCACAGTTAGAGGAGGGGGGTACCACATGTCCTCCACTGCCTGGAAGGGGGTAAGATGATGGTAAGATGATGGTGAGATGATGGTGAGATGATGGTGAGATGATGGTGAGGTGATGGTGAGATTATGGTGAGGTGATGGTGAGATGATGGTGAGGTGATGGTGAGATGATGGTGAGGTGATGGTGAGATGATGGTGAGGTGATGGAGAGGTGATGGAGAGACGATGGTGAGATGATGGAGAGACGATGGTGAGGTGATGGAGAGACGATGGTGAGACGATGGTCAGGTGATGCTCTTGGTGGGACTGACGCTGCTGGTGGTGGCGTGGGGGTCTCGCACTGTCGTTCAGCTGTGAGTAGATCTTAAAGCGATTTCCCTCCCCAGATCCTATCTCACCTTGGCACAGGCCAGAATAGGAGCAGCCTGCTCCATAGCAGCGGCCATGGAGGCGGGAGTGACGCTGCTGGTGGTGGCGTGCGGGTCTCGCACCACACTGTCGCTCAGCCGCACATGCACCCCCACCACCACCGTCCGCACCTCCTTCATCTCCTGCATCAGCCGTGCCACCAGCGGCCATATCTCTTTCCTGGGCCTGGATTGAGGGGTGAGGGGAGGGGTAGAGTTGGGGGGGGGGGGGGGCAGGGGAGATGCTATTGCTCATCCGCACGTGCACCCCCACCACCACTGTCCGCACCTCCTGCATCTCCTGCAGCAGACGTGCCACCAGCGGCCATACCTCCTTCCTGGGCCTGCGGTGAGGGGTGGGGAGGGGAGGAAGAGGAAGAGGAGAGGAAGGGAGGAACGAGAGTGCATCTCATTGCGAGTCATGTGCCCCCGCATCTCCTGCAGCAGACGTGCCACCAGCGGCCATATTTCCTTCCTGGGCCTGCGGTGAGGGGTGGGAGGTGGATGAGGGGTTGGGCAAGGGGGAAGTTGGGGGGAGATGGGGGTTGGGAGGAGAGAGAAAGAGAGAAGGAAAAGAGGGGAGTGATGTGAGCGCACAGCCGCACGTGCAACCCCACCACCACTGTCCGCACCAGCCTCGCCACCAGTGGTCATACCTACTTCCTGGTTCTGCCAGGAAGGGTTGGGGTGGGTTGGGGCATAGAGTGTTGGGCGAGGGTGGTGAAGTGGAGGGAACACCCTATGCCAGGAAGGGATGGTGTGGGTGCGGATGGGGCATAGGGTGGGTGGGCGGAGAGTGATTCAATCCAGCGTATAATGTATCCCATTGCAGTTCACCTGAATGCGACGCAGGGCATACCTGACAAGACATCGGAGAATGCAGCCGAAAGCGTACGGTTGCGTCAGTACTTTGAACGCAATGCAGGGCATGCATACCTGACGAGGAATCGGAGAATGCAGCCAAAGGCGTACGGTGGGCGCAGCCCCGTCGCCCGGAGCGCGTCCGCCCACTCGCCCGTCCCGTTTGTAAGCATCTCCGTTAGTATCCCGCGGTTCCACAGCACCTTCACGTTCCGATAATCCTTAAACCTCGCCAGCTGTTGCAAATCCACCCGATTCCCGTTCAAATCCAGGAACGGAACCTCCTTTGGCGAAAACGACTCGTTCAGGTTACTCGTGCGACGGGAGGGATCCATGGGAACGTCAGGGGAGGGGCGCCAGTCGATGAATGCGGGCTCAAAGGCGTACTGTATGCAGTCGTGGCGGATCACAAACGCCCGGCGGTCCAAGAGCGCGGCGACGAAGGAGGAGACGAGGCCCACGAGAAAGTCCCCGAAGCCCCCGCAGTGACCGGCCTGGTCGAACGTGAGAAAGCGAACGGAGGGATCTGGGAGGGTTGGATTTGACAGGTTTGGGTCTGGGTCTGCTGCTGCTGCGGCGGCTGCGGCTGGTGGTAGTAGCGGTTGTGGTGAGTTTGCGAGAGAGAGCAATCGGCGGGAGGAGGGAGGGGGAGGGGGAGAGGGAGGGGGAGGCGGGGTGTAGGCGGCGGCACTGGCTGCGCGGATGGCGGAGTGCAGGCGGAGGTAGTCGTCCCGCCATGCCGTGCCGCAGAGCGTGTCCGAATACTCAAAGTCCACGTGCGCGGGGGACGAATCCGTACTCGCTATAGTCGGACGCGACTGGAGCACCTGCGATGATGACAGGGGGTCAGGGCGTGTTGGGTGAGGCATGCATGCGATGCATCACGGGTAGCATGTTTTAGGGGCCAGAAACCTTGTGACGCGGGAGTTTTTGAAGACTCTAAAAAACCACCATAATTTGGTTCACCCCGGGGGGGGCAATTTTGTGACGAGGAAATTGAGGGCTGGTTGGGGAAGTGGGGAACGGTGGAAGCAGAGACAGCGTGAATGGTAGGCGCCAAAAAAATGAGATCGGTGAGCGACGACTTGCGTTTGAGTGATTGCGAAGCGACAGAAGTGTGAGCGACACGGCATTATTGCCTTTTGCGTCGAGCGACAGCTTTGCGATGAGCGACAATGGCGTTTGGCAATTGTGATTGAGAGGTATTACGTTGAGAAACAGCCTTGCGTTGAGCGACAGGATTGCGTTAAACGACATGATTGGGCGACAGTTTTTACTTGAGCGACAGCCTTTGCGTTGAGCGACAGTATGCGACAACCTTTGCGTTGAGCGATAGTATGCGACAGCCTTTGCGTTGAGCGACAGTATGCGACAGCCTTGCGTCAAGTGGACAACCGGGACATTTGGGAAGTAGAGGGAGGAGCTCCAGAAGGCGGAGTATTACAATGGCAAGGACTAGAATCGATGTTGCTGTCACCAGTGGCGATCGCGATACGAGACGGCGAGAACGAGGCGACAACATCATGGAAGGTTACTTCAGATACGAGAATTTCGCCAGCCGCGAAATTGTTCGCCAGACGAGAAGCTGATCGCAATTGCGACGCTGACCTCTGGCACTGATGGTGCTAGTAAAAATTAGTGCAGCTGATGAACGGCGCCGCTGCAGAATAGTAACAAAGCAACCAGCGAGATTGCGAAGCTGACTTAAAGAAAAAAGAAGAAGAATAAACTACTCGCAAAACTATTGAAAATACTTGCGATCGTGTGCGGTCAGGATGCGAGGTGGAATAGGCGTGGCAGTTAATCGGAAATCAAGGCGAACATCAGCAGTTCGAGGTACAGCTGATCAACGGCAAATACTAAACCAAGCTGAAACGCTTCCTTCCCCTGCAAACTAGGTAATACCAATTTCACGGGTTTAGAGTACGGGAATATCTACTTTGACGCGATGATACTAAAATGGGAGTAAAGTAGTTTGCGCTTTTGTGATGGTGCAATCTGTAGCTGTCACGCGGTGTGAGCATTTCTGCCCTAACAAACACACGCGGCAGCACGAGATGGGATGGGATGGAAGATGAGAGAAGCGATGGCGGACAAGCAAGGTGTTAGGAAGGTGTCCATTGTTGTGATCATTGAAAGGGCAGGCGTCCAGCGCGTTGGTCCTTGGTTCGGTCTGTGCGCTTACGCTTGTTGCGTCACGGTTCATAGCGGTGAATCTTGAGAATTGTCTGGAATTGTCTTGCGCAACGACGGTTGTAACTGTGACGAACACGCTGGAGCCGCCCTAATTCGCCTCGCCACGCACTCCTTCCAATAGCGACGGATTTGAGAGAATGACTCCAGTGGCCAAAAAAGTGATTCACCATCCCTCGCGTGGCCACGAATGACTCGAGTGGCCACCAAATTTGGTGATAATGACTCTAGTGGCCACGCCAGGGGATTCCTTCCGGTTTGTTTTTACCCGGCACATTACCCTACAAGGGTTTGTAACCCCGAAACTTCTGTACGGATTATTGCGCGATTTTCATTATTCGAAATTTATGTTCTTGACATTATCTGACCACGCCTGATTGGATGCGCATTGCCAAAAAAACGCACTGCGCATATAATCGACCAATCATTCGCGGCCATTAAATCCCGCGCAACGACGCCTGGGCATTGGAGTTTATGATCGTGGAAATATATGACCGAGCATTAATATATGATGCCCGCGACCATTACTATATGTTCGGGCAAAACAAATGAAACTCATGGCTTACGGCATGCCATTCGGGAGCCTCAACCCTAAAATTTTAGGGTTGAGGCTCTCTAATGGCATGCCTTTCGTATGGGGTTTATTTTTTTTTCTTGCCCGCGCTGACCCATTGCAGTTTATGATCGCGGAAATATAGGGTTTTTATACGGGCCGTGACAAAACTTTTCGTAGTTATCACGAGGAATCAAATGTTCCGCCAAATCTATCACGGACAGTCACAAAATCCGCCAAATCTATCACGAACCATCACACGGGTATCACCCGCCGTCACAAAAAGGCACTAATTTCTATCACGGGTAGTCACACTCGAAACTTTGCTATCACAGAAGAAACACTGTAAAGATTTAGGGACTATATTTCGGTTGCTGATTTTTGTCCTGTAAACGCGACCATTTTCGGTGGAAAGATACCTGGTTACGTTTGAATCGACGTAACACACAATATCAAACAAACACATATAGATTTTGCTAGAGTTCATCATAAGTATTTTCCTGAATGTTTATTCACATGTTATTTTGTGATTTCACGATTGTATATAGTATGTTCTATCATTTACAAACTAGGTCTTGTTTTACCCAAAATCCTTTGCTATTTTTACCAGACAATTATGATATGTGCAAGTCCGATACGGTATGAGGCGCATCATAGAAACAATCATAACTTGCAATCATTTTTAGCAATAACCTATGCCATATGATGCTAGGTAAGGCTGTTTGGTTGTAATATGATATGCAACTGATTTGATGATGTAAACAAGCGCAAGTGCGCAGAACTGGTGAAGGCTTTTTTTTTTCTAAGCTCGCGAATCATTTAACCATTCCACATTTTGAGTTCTTATATTTTCTATCCGCTGTATGACGAAATATAATTTGCGCGTTTCTAGTTATAGATTCTTTAACATTTTGATAAACATTTAGGCAGATTCAATGAATTGTGAACTCGAGCAATATATAAAAATTTTAAAGCTATAATTTTGTTACAACGATTCGAATGTAACCAGGTACCTTTGCAACCAAAATGGTCGCATATACAGGACAAAAACCAGCCACCCGAAATATAGTCCCTAAATCTGTATAGTGTTTCAGGGCGGGTCAACGAAATGATGAGGGCTCATCTGGGGTAGCAAAGTTTCGAGTGTGACTATCCGTGATAGAAAATAGTGCCTTTTTGTGACGGCGGGTGATACCCGTGTGATGGTTCGTGATAGATTTGGCGGATTTTGTGACTGTCCGTGATAGATTTGGCAGAACATTTGACTGCTCGTGATAACTACGAAAAGTTTGTGACGGCCCGTATAAAAACCCGGAAATATACACATGATCGGGCATTACAGTGTATGATGCTCGCGAGAATAAAAAGCCGCGCATGATTGGTCGATTATATGCGTGTCCGGTTAGGCGCGGTCATATAGGGTCACGAACATAAAATTCGTATATAAATGATAGCGCAATAACCAGGACAAACATTCGGGGGTACAAACCCCCGTAGGGTAATGCGCCGAAGAAAAAAAAGCCAGCAAGAATCCCCTGGCGTGGCCACTCGAGTCATTATCACCAAATTTGGTGGCCACTCGAGTCATTCGTGGCCACGCGAGGGATGGTGAATCACCTTTTAGGCCACTGGAGTCATTCTCTCGACGGATTTCTATCGAAGGGCAACGTCAGGTTGTACATTTCTCCGCACCTTTCAGTTCTTGTGTAGTGGCTCAGGACGGTTCCACACGGTGGAAAGCAGTTTTTACGCTTTACCGGTTTGCACCGTGAAGAAACGGAGTTGAGTGCACAGAAGTAGTACTGTACAACCTGACGTCGCTCTCAAGCCTTCACGCGAAAGCGTTCGGTTCGGGTTCCCTGGTTGGTGCTGGTGCCTCGGCGAATTTTGTCGGCGAAGAATTTCGACGAGCTTCGCAAAAACTGTAGCTTGTGGAGCTGACGGTGGGGTGCTGCTCCTGAAGAGCAGGTTCTGTCTGTATGTACCTATCAGCTGCCCCTTGGCAGGAAGATGAATCTGTACAGTGTGCGCCTTGTTCCGAGTCGCGCCGTGAAGTGGGTGCAGGCGAATTCAGGTGAATAGTGTAGCGAGTTGGTGAAGGAACTGGGTGTACGCGTTGGGGTTTGACGCGAATGATTTAGTTGGGCTATCCTTACACTCCATAACACGTTTCATTAATAACTAACAACATGCGAAAATCTTTGCATCTGGCTCTGACTGTACTATGAATTAGAATATATTGCCTTGGAAATACTAGACGTTCTCGAAATTGCTAGGACAAAGTGACTTCTTATATGCATCCAGCCGTATGAATGCCATTCCAACGTTCAGTCCGCACCGCAATCTCCACGATCAGTCCAGACCATAATGCGCCGCGTCTTTGGGATCACGTCAGTGAATAACCTGCTTCGTTTCGAACCGTTGAATGGGGTACGAGGCGCGTTCAGGCACCCCGAAATCCAGTAGCCTCGTCAGCAGCAGACAGGGCCAGCCACGGCGGCGATGCGAGGCTCCGGTGGAACCGTCTGGGCAATCGCGTTCTGCCGCACGTGGCGTCGGCGCAACGCCGCCGAATCTCCGGCTGCCAGCTGGCGGAATTCGATTGCACCGCTGCGGCATCGCTGCGCGGCGGCGCGAAATGGGGATTGCGCGGCGGCAGCGACACCTGCCTATGATGCGTTGACTCTGTCAAACAAGTCAGATCAGTTGACTCATTTGACCCGGTTGACCCAATTAACACAATTGACTCAGTTGACTGAATCATCAACCAAAACCTCTCTCCCGCATCATATACAATCGCTTCGGCTGCTGTCGCCAGTCTCCCTTACTCATGACCTCACACAATTCCCTCCATTCCCGCGCGGACGCTACGACGCTCAAGCCTCAGTTCTTCCGCCGATCTCCCCCCAAGTCTTCTCCCCGCGTGGGCTGGCCAGCGGAGGGAAATTTCCAGTGGCGGAAGGTTTGCGGGAGCGATCTGCAGCTGCAGAGGCTGCGGGGGGAAGGGGAGGCGGCGGAGGATGGGGAGGGGGGAACCGAGGCGGGTGGCGGAAAAGGGGGACCGAAAAGGCGGCGGAGCATGGGGACGCGGGGGAAAGAAGAGGCGCTAACGCGCGGAAAAAGGGGGAATCAAAGGGGCGCGGAAAGGGGGAAGTGCGCCCGAGAGCGCCGACAACGGAGAACGAGCAGGGCGGTTTAGGGAGAGAAGGGGGCGGATCCGGCGGAGGGACGAGCGGGGAGGGCGCGGAGATGCTTTCCAACCCCGCGGGGCGGGAGATGGAGCGGCTGCGCGACAATCTGGCGCGGATGCGGCGGGAGGCGCTGGGGCGGGCGCTGGAGAGGGCGGGGCGGGAGGGGCGCTTGGGGTGGGCGGAGGCGCAGTGGCTGGTGGAGGGTATGATACAGAAGGGGGACGGCATTCGCGCTTACAGGGTGAGGGGCAGAGTGGTGGCGATGGGTTTGTTGTGAGAATACAGTGGTGTGGCGTGGCAGTCAGGGAATTGGTTGGCAGGCAGAGGGGATACGGTGGGGAAGGGTGTGAGGGGCGTGTGGAGTGGGAAGAGGCGCAGTGACTGGTGGAGGGTATGATTAAAAAGGGGGATGGCATTCGCGCTTACAGGGTGAGGAGTGGGGGAGTGGGGCGACAGTGATGGTTGGGAGGGAGTGGAGTGGGATGGGCGGGTGAAGTGAGGAGAGGCGTAGTGGTTGGTGGAGGAGGGTATGGGGTATGATTGGGCGGGGTTTGGCATTCGTGCTTACAGGGTGACGAGGGAAGGGAGTGACAGGAATGGTCGGGGGGAGGGAGCACGCTGAATAAAACTCACACCCCTTCTCTCTCAATTCTTCCTATCCCTCTCTTTTTTCTCCCTCCCCCCTCTCCTCCCCCCCTCCGCGCCCTCCCTCCCCCTTCCCCCCTCATTCTCTCCTCCAGATTCTCCAGTGGGCGCAGCAGCAGCCATTCCACTTTCCCTCCCATAGCCAAGCCATAGCAGCAGCACAAGCCATAGCAAGCATATATGAACCTTCCTCCTCTCCCTCAAATCCCTTCCCCCCACCTCCCACCTCCCCTCCCCCTCATCCACCCATCCCCAGATCCTCCAGTGGCCGCAGCAGCAGCCATTCTACTCGCCCTCCTACAAGCAGAGAGCAACCTCAATACGACCCACAACCCCTTTCACTCTCTCACCTTTCCCCCCTCCCCTTCCCCCCCTCCAGATCCTCCAGTGGGCGCAGCAGCAGCCATTCTACTCGCCCTCCCCGCCGCTCCTCTCCTCGCTCCTCCTCCTCCTAGCACGCTCGCACCGCATTCCACCCATGCTCGCCCTGCTCGACCACTGCCTCGCCTGCCACCCCCACACACCACCAGAAACACAGGGCAGTGCAGGGCCCTCATCCCCGCCTCTCCTGCCCTCTCCGCCCCATCTGCTGCAGCAGCCCCACCCGCCGGTGTTGCCAGTGCACGCAACGCCGGAAGGAGAGGGGGCAATGCCTTCTGTACCTTCTCAGTCCACTGAAACGGCACCTCACCACCCCACAGCAGAGCCGGCAGGACCCATGGGGCCGGTAGGGCCGGTGGGGCCGGTGGGACCAGTGGTGCCGCTGCGGACGGTGCAGACATGCATGGGGGCGCTGCTGAAATCGGCGCATGATGAGATGGAGCGCGTGTGGGAGCTGTATGGCATGGGGGAGCGGGAGGGGGGGAAGGGCAGCACGCCCGACTGGCTTGTCAATCAAATGTTTGAGGTGAGTGCGTGGGTGCAGGTGGGTGAGTGATTGGGGCAGGGTCATGATGAGATGGAGCGCGTGTGGGAGCTGTATGGCATGGGGGAGAGGGAGGGGGGCAGGGGGGGCACACCCGACTGGCTTATACAGCAGATGTTCGAGGTGGGTGGTTTGCGTGGGTGAAGGGTGGGTGAGTGAGTGGCGGCGTATGGAAGAGAGAAGGTGGCCCATTCCAGTGCACATGTGACTTTTGAGTCGACTCAAAAGTCACCTCTGCAAGAGAGACGATGGACCACTCCAGTGCAGATGGCATTACGCGCATGGGTAAGGAAGAGAAAGGGGGGCGCAGAGGCGCCACGCCTGACTGGCTGCTGCTGCTGCAGCAGATGCTTGAGGTGAGTGGTTTGCCTTGCTTCCCTGTCAGTGGGTGGGTGAGTGGGTGTGTGAGTGGGTGAGTGGGTGACAATGCGTGGAAGTGAGTGGGTGGTCCACTGCAGTTGGTATGCGTGCATGGGGGAGGAGGCGGGGGGGGAAAGGATAGCACGCACGCCCGACTGGCTGCTGTAGCAGATGTTTGAGTTGGGTGGATTGCCGGGCTTCCATGCAGCAAACTATTTGAATATCAAGCACCTAAACCCCTACCCCCCACCCCCCCCCCCCCCAATGCCCCCCCCCTCCCCTTCCCCCCTGCGGGCCTTTTCCAGCCCCAAGTGGCGAGGCCGCCACATGCACAAGGCATGGGATCTTTTGAGAGACATGAGGGTCCCACCACTTTCCGCCATTTCCCACCTCCTTCCACCGCTTGCCACTGTTTCCTGCAGGCCTTTTCCAGCCCCAAGTGGCGAGGGCGCCACATGCACAAGGCAGAGGCGCTTCTGAGAGAGATGAGGGAGAAAATGTACCTAGATATTTCCTCTTCCCCCCATATCCACCACTTTCCACCACTTTCCACCACGCGCCACCGTTTCCTGCAGGCCTTTTCCAGCCCCAAGTGGCGAGGGCGCCACATGCACAAGGCTGAATCACTTCTAAGAGAGATGAGAGGGAGGAGGGGGGAAGGAAAGAATCAGCTGCCACGTCAGCAGCGCAGCTCGCCCCCTCTGCTCCACATGTACGCGTCTCTGGTACGACATCACGCCAGGGAGGGCCACGTCAGCAAGGTGGTAACCCTGTTACAGCAGATGCGCGACGACCTGGCCATGTCAAGACGAACGGTGCCGCTCCAGGCGGTGGAAGCGGTGGTGTTTGGGTGCGCGCGGTTTGAGGCGCCTCAAAATTCCCCACCGGTGCCTCTGCCCCCTGCCCCTCAAAGTGCACCTCAAAAGGGACGAACGGTGCCGCTCCAGGCGGTGGAAGCGGTGGTGTTTGGGTGCGCGCGTTCTGAGAATTCTCAAAAACCCGCGCGGTTTGAGGCGCCTCAAAATGCACCTCAAAAGGGACGAGCGGTGCCGCTCCAGGCGGTCGAAGCGGTGGTGTTTGCGTGCGCCCGGGCGGTGTACCTGAGCAAAAAGAGGAGGGAGAAAGGGGGAGTGGTGGGGTTACAGAGGGAGGGTAGAGGAGGTAGTGGTTACAGCAGGGGTGGTACAGGGGGGGCGGGAGAGGAGGATGGTGAGTTGTCTGCTGCAGCACTGGCTGACCATGCCTCTGCAGCTATGCAGGAACTGCAAGAGGCGATGGGGGCGCGAGGAGGGGAGGGAGAGGGTGAGCGAGGAAGGGAGAGAGAGGAGGAGAGGGAAGAGGGTGGTCTGAGGGGGTATGAGGTGGGGGAGCGGGTGTGGTCAGCGTATATGGAGACTTTGAACCATGCAGGGCGGTATGAGGCGAGCATTGCAGCATGGCCGCATGTCATGGCAATCAAGAGAGGGGCGGAAGAGTGGGAGGAGGGCGGGGCGGAGGGCGAGTGGGAGCGTGCAGCGTGGGGCATGCGTATGGGAAGCAGGGAAGCAGCAGCAGCAGATGGGGAGGAGAATCTGCCTGGGTTGCGAGCATGCAATGCGTACCTCGCGGCGCTGGCAGGAGCAGCGGTGGCGAGCGGGGAAGGGGGGCGCAGGAGGGAGGCGGAGAGGAGGGGCGAGGAGGCGGAGGGGTTTTTCCGCACCTTGCTGCGCGCGGAGAGAGGGCCGCTCACTGCTGCTGTGAACGCGCTGCTGCACATGTACCTCCACCAGTCGCGCCTGAATGACCTAGAGAGGCGGTTTCAAGGGATGAAAGAGGTGGGTTGGGTTCCAGGTTGGTCTCTTGCTTGGAATATTCCCCACTCTTTCTTTTGAGGTGGGGCGAGGAGGTGGAGGCATTTTTCCGAGCCATGCTGCGCGCAGAGAGAGGGCCGCTCACTGCTGCTGTGAACGCACTGCTGCACATGTACCTCCACCAGTCACGCCTGAACGACCTTGAGCGAAGATTTCAAGGCATGAAAGAGGTGCGTTCCCCACACTGTTGTTGAGATTTATAAAAAGGAAGACACTGCTGCGCATGAACCTCTACCAGTCACGCTTGAACGACCATGAACGGCGGTGTCAAGGCATGAAAGAGGTGAGTTTCCGTGAAATTTGAGGGTGTGTCTGAGAATGATAAGAATGAACGCGCTGCTCCACATGTACCTCGGCCAGTTGGGCCTGAACGACCGTGAGAGATGGTTTCAAGGTATGAAAGAGGTGGGCCCTGGGTTGGTCTATTCAGTTACTCTGCTGCTGCTGTTTCTGCTGCTGTGAACGCGCTGCTGCTCATGTACCTCCACCAGTCACGCCTCAACGACATGGAGAGGCGATTCTAAGGCATGAAGGAGGTGGGCTCTCGGCTGGTCGGTCTTCCCATTCACTCTCTACACGCGTCGCTGCTGTTCACTGCCCTTGCTTTGTGCCTCTCTTTCCCTTCCTTTCCGTTTTTGCTTCTTGCAATTTTTCTTCTAATCACTTTTCATTCACCTGTTCTCGATTCCGTGCTTCTGATGCAGATTGGGTGCCTCCCCGACCGCACGTCCTACCACCTGCGCCTGGCAGCACACACCAAAGCCGGCAACCTGGGCATGGCGAAAAAAATCTTCCTCGAAATGAGCTCCATCCAGGACATAGGCGTTGACGCCCACACCTACAATCTAATCATAGCCGCCTGTGGTGCAGCAGGGGACACCAGAGCTGTCCCTTCACTCATCCCACACGAGTTTCATCCTTCCTTCCTTTTCCCAATTCTGTGCTTCTGATGCAGATAGGGTGTCTCCCCGACCGCACGTCCTACCACCTGCGCCTGGCAGCACACACCAGAGCTGGCAACCTGGGCATGGCAAAAAAAATCTTCCTCGAAATGAGCTCCAACCAGGACATAGGCGTTGACGCCCACACCTACAATCTAATCATAGCCGCCTGCGGTGCAGCAGGGGACACTCGAACGGTCCGTTCGCTGTATCTGGACATGGTTGGAAACCGGAAGGGCCGAGGAAAGAAACCGGGGATGGTGCTGGTGGGAGCAGCGAGGGAAGCGGCGGAAGCAGTGGTGGGGAAGTTGAGGGTAGAGAGGGATGAGACGAGGAGCATGAAGCTGAGTAAGGAGCAGCGGCAGGTGTTGGCAGGGGTGCTGCTGGGTGGCGCAAGGATTGCGGCGCAGGACAACGAACGGACGTACGAGATTCATTTCGAGCAGCCGTTGGACAATCCTGGCCGTGTAGAGCTGCTGGAGGGGCTGTACGGGGCGTTTGGGTCGTGGGCCAGTGCGCCGCCCAGAAACATGCTCCTGCTCATGCCACCCGCCCCAGACGCTCCTCCCGATGCTGCCGCAGCAGCCGCCGCCGCCGCTAATGCCGCTGCCGCATCTGTTTCTGCTGCTGCTGCTGCCGCCGCGACTGCAACTGCTGCCGCTTCTTCGTCTGCCCCACCCGCTGACGTCTTAGCAGCAGCGGGGGTGCGTCCCATCCGCGTGCGTCACTTCGCCACCATCCCCCACACGGCTCTCCGGTACCACGCGCAGCGCTACCACCCGCAGGGGCCCCGCGTCATTCCCAAGCTCATACAGCGCTGGCTCACTCCAAAGACGTTGGCTTACTGGTATATGTACAGTGGGCGGAGGTGTGAGGAGACTGGGGGGATAATTTTGCTCGCGAAACAGTACTCAAGTCGGGATTTGAGACGGATTGCGCGTGCGCTGTGCGTGTCGGTGCGGGATTGTAGCGTGAAGATGAGGTATAGACGGCCGGGGCAGCGGGTGCTGGAGAAAGGAGGGAGGAAGGCGGGGAAGAGGACGAGGAAGGTGGTGAGGAGTGGGGAGGGGGAGGAGGAGGGTGGAGGAGTGAGGGATAGGCTGAGGTGGAGGGCTCAGATGGGGAGGGTTGCGTTGGAGAGTCCGTGGGATGCGCCGAACCTGATTCGGTTCGGCGGAGCCACGGCGACGAGGCTGTGGAAGTTCATGGAGGCGCATGTGCTGCCGAGCCTGAGGGACGAGCTTCGGCCGGGCGTGAGGATGAGGTTCGGGGGAGATGGTGCAGCTGGTGTTGGTTTGGAGGGGGGTGGTGTGATGGGAGAGAGTGGGGAGAGGGAGAGCGAGGGAGGGTGGGAGGAGGACGAGAAGGGGGAGAGGATGGTGGGGGCTGGAGAAATTGGTAGGGGGGGCAGGGAGGGGGAAGTGAAGGGAGAGGAGGGGAAAGAGGGTGGGGAGGTGTGGTCTGATGATGCATGGGGTTCTGATAGCCAAGAAGAGGGGAGCAGAGATGAGGATGAGGAGGAAGAGGAGGACGAGGATGAGGAGGATGAAGAGGGGGAGGAGGAGGACGAGGAGGGTGATGATGAGGGTGAGAATTGGGACGACGGGGAGGATGAGGATGAGGATGAGGAGGGGGAAGAATGGGAAGAGGTGGAAGAAGGGGAAGAGGCAGAGCATGACAGGGAGGAGGGGGAGAGTGTGAGGCGACGCTTCAGCCCAGGAGGAGATGACAGGGTGCATTGGGAAGGGCAGCAAGGGTTTGGAGTGGACAATGATACTGGAGAAGGACGAAACGACGAGAGAGAAGCGCGAGGCATTGAGAAAGAAGCGCGAGGCATTGGCAGGACAGGGCTTGAGCAGCAAGAGGGGCAAGAGGACGCAGACAAGTTTGAGAGGAGGAGATTCAGTCGGGGCCGGTTTAGGGATAGGGAGAGGGAGAAGGATACAAGGGAGGAGATTGGGTTGAACGAGTGGATGCCTCTGGAGCTGGCTCTGTACATGGAGAAGGTGCAGACACCCGTGTTCAAGAAGAAACCCAAAAAGAAGAGGTGATGCGGTTCAGGGTTTAGGGCTTTCAGGGGTTTAGGATGCTTTAGGGAGGGGGTCTCTGGCTCTGTACATGGAGAAGGTGCAGATACCCGTGTTCAAGAAGAAACCCAAAAAGAAGAGGTGATGCGGTTCAGGGTTTAGGGCTTCCAGGGGTTTAGGATGCTTCAGGGAGGGGGTCTCCCAGGGCTCTCGCTAGGTTTTTGGCCTGTCTGACAGTATGTCTAAAAAAAAAAAAATCGTCTTACGCTCAGACTGGCGCTTTTTTTTTGTCTGACCTCTAAGATGAAACATCATTACCAGTCTGAAAAAACAGATGAACTATTCTACGGGCCCTAAACTACTCTACAAGAATTCTACACACTACAAATTAGAAACTAGGCATCATTAAACCATTCTACGGTTTTGTCAGACTCGCTGCCACTATCATCATCACTACAGCTGTCTAGGCTATCAGACTGCACTGGAATAGGGTAGTTGGCTTTACCCTTGCGACTGAGCCATGGGAACTCTGCATCCAGCCTGGCTGCTTCTGCTACTGCTGCTGCTTCTCGTGCTGCTGCCTCTGCCGCTGCCACAGCAGCTGCTGCTGCTGCTGCTGCTGCCTCTGCTGCTGCTGCGGATCTTTTTCTATTGCGCTTGCTCTCCCTCTCCACTCCCGGCAGCAGCACATCCTTTGCAGGCCTCCTCTTCTTCGACTTGTGCCACCGCGCCACCAACTCGGGCCACTCCATGTCGTAGGTCAAAAGAGACACGGTCATGAGCTCACCAAGCTTGGCGTCGCACAGGTTCCCTCTCAGCCAGCTCTTGATCACGTTTTGTCTCAAGAATCCGCGTTCGCACTCCACAGTGCTCAGCGGGAGCACAGCTACAGCGATCCACAGGCGGACAATGTTGGGGTAGCTCGTTGTCCAGTCTGGTGAGCTCAGTATGTGCTTCAGGCCCTCCGCAAAGCCGACATCCTCTTGGTGGGTGCTCATGATCGTCGCGAAGGTGTTGAGTTCCCGCTGTGCTTTGGCCCAGTCCACACCTGTAAGAATGGGCGGGCGAAGGAAGAGAAACGGGTGAGACTGATTACATATGTTCACAGACGCGGGAAATCATTTTAAAAAACGAAGCATCCTCACGACAAAAGGCTTTACAAACCTGGCAGAGTGTCAGGATCGTCGGAATGCTTCTTGTACATGTCGCGCAGAGACTGCAGCCACTGCGCCAACCGCCGCTCGCGCTTTGCCGCGGACTTCGGGTACTGGGACTTCTTGAACAGCTTCGCCCCATTGAGCGACGCGAGATCCTCCAGTCGGTAGTCGAGCTGCTTAATCAGCTCAACCACGAACTCCCGCCCAAGCTTCAAGCAGGCGCTGAGGTCGCCTTTGCTCTTCTGCCCCACGATAGCCTCTTCGTGCAGCAGGTAGCAGTGAGTTGTCGGCGCTCCGGTGGAATCTGGGGCATCGACCTTCACCTCCCAGCACTCCTCCGAAGCATGTTTCGCCAAGAATGGCCCCAGCGCCGCGCCGCCTTGCCCGAACGTCTCGTCCTTGCTGTCGAGGTAACGAGTCCGCAGCAGCAGTGTGGTGTTGTGTACCGTCTGCAGCACATGGGTGGCGTCAATCTGCATAAGCACAACGCAGATAGAAGTTAGAATGTTACCAAACAAAACGGGTGGAGTAAAGCGCAAACATCAACACGTACCTGCCGTGTCTGGAACTTCAAGTTGAGCTGGTTCAGCTCCTTCAGCACATCGGCCAGCAAGTCGAGTAAGAAGTGAAATTTGAAACTCGTCACGGTCTTATACATCTTCTTGTCGAATTCCTGCAGGACGATCACAACAGCAGGGAACACCGCGACGAGTCGCTGGATTGCATTGCCTCGGGAAAGCCACCTCACGTCCTTTATCCCCTGCATCTCGAGATGCGTCTCGCAAATGACCTCTTGGAGCTCCTTGAATCGCGTGTGAACAACAAGGCGCCCGAGAATGTCGACCACGGACCGGACAGCCTTGTCCACAATCTGAAGGTCAGGATACGCGGCTGCTGCATCTTTGGGTGCCAGCGCCTCCCTGCAAGTTTAAACAGATACGAAGTCAGTACACGGTTTATACGCACATCAATAAACAACCCGGACGAACTTACCTGTGTGCGACACAGTGACACGAAACGAGATGAGGAACCTTCGCGCGCAGGCGCGCGACCAGCCCGTTGTGCTGTCCAGTCATCACTGAAGCGCCGTCCGTGCTCATACCGAGCGCTGCAGATCGATCCCCGTTGTCTCAAAATGCGTCAGCAGGCCCGTCAGCAGCGAGGCGGCATCACACTGCTCGACCGATAGCAGGGTGTAGAACTCCGTGACTGGTAGGTTTTCGCGCAGGAATGTCAGGTAGACGATCATATGCTTCCCGCGCCTTCGGTCCGTGCTCTCGTCTAGCTGGATCCCGAGGTAGGGGCTGGCGCGGATGTACTGCAGCTGACGGGACCGCAGGTATGACACCATGGTTGCCACCAGCTGTGCGAACCCATACCTGCAACACATAAACATGAATAGCCATTAGATTTGTGGAGTAGCAACACAGACACGCGATACGGGATACAATATCTTACTCGCTGTAATAGGTGCCATTCTCCTTCAAGGGCATGTCCGGCGTGCCCTGCTCAGCCATGAATTGCACAAGCGCAACGAACAGCACAATAGGGGCGTCAGATTTGCAGACGAATAATGCGATTGCCATTAGTTTTGCAATTCGCCTGGCGTCGTCGTCCCCCTTGTCGTAAGCGACCATAGTCTGCTGCCCTTTCTTCAGGCCGTCACGTTGTTCCTTCTGCAGGACCGCCGCCTCGTGCTTCACGCTGAAATGATGCTTGCGCATCGTCTGCTTCTGAATGTCGAGGCCGCCCTCACCATAACGGCCGTACTTGTAGTGCGGGTCCCCGAACACCATACAGATGCTGCAGCGCATGCAAGGTCGCCCGTCCTTCGTCTCACTGATGAAGAGCCACGGGAAGTAGCGAAGCCACTGCTCCTTACACTTGAGCTGCAGCTCTTCCACAGTCAGCGGCCGACGTCCCTTCGTTGTGCCCTTCTCCTCGGCTTCGTCATCGTCGTCGGTGGATTGACGAGTGGCGGGCGGGACCGTCTCCGATGGCGCGGGCAACGTCGGACCTGCGGGACGGGCAAAGTTAAGCCGCCGCTGCTTGTATTTAGATTTCACAGAAGCCCTGTCAGGGAGCACATGGTTAGCCCGTAGATTGGAGGTTGTTGCAACTGAAACGACGGGGCAGATGGATTCACGGCCAGATGCTGGTATACTCGTCGACGTGGGCGTGGTAGCCTTGGACATGCCACCGTCCGCATTTTCTTCGGCCATAGGGTCTGGGGAGGCGTTGTCCGCTGGTATAACCCGGTTTGAGCACGAGGCAACGGGGGGTGCAACGACGGGGATCGACTTGCCCTTGGTGAGAAAATCTAGTGCCGAGACTCCAGGGGGGTCTTTCTCCTCTGGAATGGCCATCAGATGGTATGGTGAACGTGGAAAACTGCACTGCGGGGCTAGTCGAGTGCAGCGGAAGAAAAGGATGTAGAAGATGGAGGGTGTGCCCCCAGTTTGGTCCCTCAAACCCTCATCTCGTAGCACGTCAGAGTGATGCGCGCTGCGGGTGTGGGCGGGGAACCACAGTTACGTGCATCCGTGATGCATACAGGTCACCCCAGGACACAAAATGACAGTGTCGGTGCCTGGGTGTGGCTGGCATCGGCGCCGACACCCACGCAGCGAAAAAGTGTTGGCAGCATTGCACATAGTTAACTGCTGCCAGCGGTGCTGTTTCCTCCAGCGCGGATGCTACGGGACAGTAGCATTCATTACGCATGCCTGTATACAGGCTGGCAGACACCCGAACTAGTGGCCCTATGGACAACAGGGCAGAAATGTCGGTTTCAGACGGAATCGTACTCCTTATCTGGAGTCTCAGATGAAAAATAGTGTGCGATCTGAAAATGTATCTGAAGTAAAATCCTTTGTCTTACAGACCATCTGAAAAATAAAGTGCAGTCTTACAGATCATCTGAAATAAGAAAATTAAGTCTGAAACGCAGACCATCAGACCAAATTGGTCTGCTAACGAGAGCCCTGGGGTCTCCGGCTCTGTACATGGAGAAGGTGCAGATACCCGTGTTCAAGAAGAAACCCGAGAAGCGGAGGTGATGCATTTGAGGGTTCAGGGTTTGGAGAGGCTTAGAAAAGTGAGGCCAGTGTTCACAGATGCTGAAGAAGCGGCAAAATCACCTCCTTGTCACCCATGTGCTGTGAATGATGAATTGTACCATACAAGACCGCAAGACTGTTGGGCTGAGAAAAGCCCTTAGGATCTTTTGCAAGGGTAAACTCTGGGTAAGATAATGAATGTTGTAACAGCGGAAGCTTAATGAAGAGGTTTGAACCACCTTGCGCTAGTATGTGAGGGCAAAGTAGATTGATTATAGCAAGGAAGTACAAGATTATATAATGGTACAAGGAATATGAAAAGATGCAGTTATAACTACTTTACTGTTGCTGTTGCGGTTCGATACAGTACGACTCGGGCAACTGCTCTGTAACGAGTCAGTTGTGTGTCCTTACTGTCGCGCTGCACTTGTCAGGTCAAAGGTCGCTGACCTTTGACTTTCGCGTAACCTCCAGCAACCTCTCAACCTCTGAGGGTTGACTAGCGGGTGCTTCGATATGGTTTGCCTCGCTTCTGGTGTGGTGTTTCGACACGACAGAGGCGCTTAAGATTTACTGTTTCCAACACTCCCCTTCGCTTCTGGAGTGTCGCTGCTGATGACGTGGCTCTGTCCAGTCAGCAGCATGCAGTACTCGAATTTCTGTTTTCCGAGCTTCTTGGTCAAATAGTCAACTGCCATCTCGGATGTGGGATAGTATGACAGCTCGAGTCTCCCCTTCTCGATCTCGTCCTTCACGAAGAAGTAGCGTAGGGCGATGTGTTTCGTCCTGTTCGCGAAGCCGTTCTTGTTGGCGATGCGAATTGCCGATTGGTTGTCGCAGAACAGGGTGAAGTTGGGTAACTCGGCTAACTTCGCTTCTTCCAGCAGCTCGCGAAGGTAAAGTCCTTCCTTGGTGGCTGAGCAGAGTGCGATGTATTCTGCTTCAGCTGAGGAGAGGGCGATTAACTCCTGCTTGCTCGACTGCCAGGAAATAGGACCGATGGGCTCGAGACGGTAGATGTAGCCGGTGCGTGAGCGCCTGTTGTCGGAGTCGCCAGCGTGGTCGGCGTCGGCGTAGCCGATTGTAGTTGCGTGCTTGTAATAAGTTAGGCCGATCGTTGGAGTGCTGACGAAGTAGTGAAGAGCGCGGTCGAGCTCCGCCAGGTGTTCTGCTTCGGGCTTCTTGAGGTAGGTGGCGAGCTGGCTTACAGAGTATGAGAGGTCAGGTCGGCAGGTAACGGCTGCGAAGAGGAGGCATCCTAGCTTCCTCTGATAGTCGCGTATGCCGGCGGGTTTGAGTAGAGCGAATCCTCCCTTGTCAGTTCCTGTCGTGTAGCGGTATGGCGTGGAGATCGCGGTCGGCGTGAGAGCGAAGCGCTTGGCGATGGTGTCGGCGTACTTCTCGGCGCTGAGGTAGATCGCGTCTTCTTCTTCTCGGATGTTGAGGCCGAGGTACTGAGTGTCGGTAGACGAAACTGTGAGCGTGAGGTCTTGCTGCAGCTCCCCTTCGAACCAGGTGGTGATGCCGTCAGTTGACCCGATGTAGAGGAGATCGTCCACGTAGACGATTAGCAGGATGTAGTCGTCGTTCTTCGTGAGCCGGTACATGCCCTCGTCGTGCGGGAGTTGTTTGAAGCCGATGCGGATGAGGCGAGCGTGTAGGTACTGTTGCCACAGTCGCGGAGCCTGTTTGATGCCGTAGAGCGACTTGAGCAGCTGGCAGACTTGGTTGGGCTCTCCGTGGGAACTGTGCGGTAGCTCGACGAAGATCTCTGCATCAACAGGTGCGTAGAGAAACGCGTTTGCGACGTCGATTTGTCGCAGCTTCTTCTTCTTCATGGCGGCAATTGCGAGGAGGATGCGTAGCGAGGTGTGGCGGCTGACCGGAGCGAAGGTTTCGGTGAAGTCGCGTCCGTGCTCTTGGTCGAAGCCGCGTACGACCCAGCGCGCTTTAAACTTGTCAATGGTGCCGTCAGCCTTTGTCTTCACTCGGAAGACCCACTTTCCGGTGAGCACGGTCTTGTTTCGTGCTACGCCGATGGGAACGACTTTCCAGGTGTTGCGTTCCTCTAATGCCTTCAGCTCCTTGTCCATGGCTTCGCGCCATTTTTCCCTATGCTCCCCCCCCAGAGCCTGCTGAACCGTCGCAGGCTCCTTAGGAATGGCGGCGCCGTGGACTGCGGTGACGAGCCCAAGGGTCTGGAGTCCACTCTGTGTGTAGCGGGGGAGTGTGGTGTCCTCGGGATAAACTGCTTCGTCTCCCGCTTCTGGATCAGGTACGAAACTTGGTCCTATGCGTTCTGCTTCGTCGGTGTTGACTTGTGCTGGTGTAACATAACTGTTGTCAGCGAAGTGGTAGTAAGCTTCGGCGTTGATGCTTTCGCGTGGGTTGTCGTCGTCCATTGGTACGTCCACTGGGCAGTAGGGAAGAGGTCCGGCTTCTTCCGAGGCTCGGTCCACGTTCTGCTCGTCCCAGTCAGCTTCGTCTTCTGCCGAAGCGAAGGCTCGCGTGCCGATGAATCCGCCCGAGGGGTCAGGTCTGTTGGCTCTCACGTACGCGAGGTGGACGTCGAGGGTGAGGTGTTCGTAGAAGATGACATCACGTGCTGCGACTGTTTCTTTGCTGTTGATGTCGAAGATTTTCCATGCGTTGTAGTGTTTTTCGATGCCCAGGTGTAGTCCCCACTGTGCTCGTTGGGAGAATCGGCCGGCGCGTGCAGATGGGGGTCGGTACTGTACCATGCACCCAAAAACTCGTAACATTTTTGTGCTGCCCAACTTTCCTGTCCACAGCAGGTGCGGTGATGCGTTGTTCGGGAGCGATGATGACGAGAGCAAGTTGTGCAGCATGACGGCGTGGTCCATTGCTTCGGGCCACTGGTGGTTGGGTAGGTGCATGCCACGTAGCAGCTTGCGCATGGTGGCTTGGAGGGTCCTGTTCATCCTTTCTGCTACACCTTGTTGTTGATGAGCGTAGGGAAGGGAGATGAGCCGCTTGATTCCCCTCTCTGCCAAGTAGTCCTTGAACCTCTGTGAGGTGTATTCTCCTCCCCCGTCTGACTGGAAACTTTTCAGTTTTACGCCCGATTCTCTTTCTGCTGCAGGAAGCCAGGCGACGAAGGCTTCGAAGGCCATGTCGCGGCTTGGAAGGTTGAGGTGCCAGACGTATCTGGTTGCGGCGTCGATGAAGGTGATCGTGTAGTTGTAGGCGTTTTTTCCGGGCTCGCGGTTGTACAAGATGTCGCTGTACACCTTTTCGAGTGGTGCGTAAGCTGGTGCGCTTGGATTGTGGTGAGATGGAAACGGTTGATGCGTTAAGTCTGCTTCGGGGCAGGTGAAGCATGTTCCTCGAGCTCGCTGAAGTTCTCTGCCGTCGGTCAGTAGAAGTGAGTCTTTGTCGAGCACTCCTGCTCTTATTGTGTTGTTTAACACCGTGTTGCTTGGATGTCCCATTCTTGCGTGCCAGGTTCCTTCGGTGGCGCGGTGGCTGGGCGAGCGTCGGTACATGTCGGAGTTGGAGTAGAAGCCGGTGGTGACGTTCCTTAAAAGAGCCTAAAGGCGCCTTCGGTGCGAGCGTAAGCTTTGGACGCAGAACGACACTTCGGTGGACTTCTCGCCGCGTCAGGTTGAGCTGCTGTGCGGGTGTCGGTGACGTGTCGTCGATTAAGAGTGGTGCCGTTGAAGGACCTGCGATTGGTGTTGACGTTCCTGCTGCTACCGTTGATGTTTCTGCTGCTGCCGATGTTGTCTCTGCTGCTGCCGATGTTGTCTCTGCTGTTGCCGATGTTGTCTCTGCTGCAACCGATGTTGTTTCTGCTGCTGCCGATGTTGTCTCTGCTGCTGCCGAATGTTGAATTGTTTCTAATGCTCTTGTTATTTTTGCTTCAGGGATGGTGTGCGAATACCAGAAGCCGCTTGGACTGAAGTCTGGATCAAGATCTGGAGGGTGTGTCCAGTTGGTGAAGTTGACGATGGCATCGCTGTCCGCGGTCCCGAGATCAGGAACGAAGTCGAGAACGAAGAAGTTGTTCTTCAAGACTGCCTTCCCGATGTAAAGACCTCCTCTCCCGTGGTATAGCTTGAACTCCTGGGTGGTGCTGTCTGCTTCAAGATGAATGCCCTTCGCCATCAGTTGACTGACGCTGAGTAAATTGTATAGGAGGCCTTCTGCGATTAAAACCTTGGACATTTGCAGGATGACGTTTGTTCCCCATGACTGAAGTTGAACGATCCCTTGCCGTCGTGTGCGCAGGTTCTGATTGTTGGCGACGGTGATGACTACTTCGCGTTGAAGCTGGTATTCTCGTTGCACGAAGCGTCCTGAAGAACACATGTGTTGTCCGCAGCAGCTGTCCAAGAACCACGTGTCCTTCCCGGATGGTTCGCTTTGGGCGATGGCGGCGTATGTTGGATTCGGGTGAAGTGACTTGCAGCGGGGTGTGGCTTCGTCGAGTTGTTCTTCTGGTGAGTAGTGCGGTGGTGACTCGGTGATGCAGGAGTCGCTCAGTCTTGCCATGCAGCTGACGATGTTTCTTGCTCCTTGTGCAGATTGTCCCGTTGAAGCTGTTGAAGCTTGGATCGATGTTGTGGGGTTCGCTTGCGTTGATGCGACCTGGCTGCTTGAAGGTCGAAGTTGTCGCTGTGGAGTTGATGACTGTTGACGATTCGGACAGTGTGTGCGCGGGTGCCCTGAGGTTTTGCATATGTGGCAGAACAGAGGTACTGGCTTCTGTTGTTGCTGTCGATTGTTGTTGTTGTTGTAGCGCCGCTAGGTGTGGAACGCGAATTCCGGTGCTGATGTCTTTCTCTTGTGTCTTTCTTCTTGCAGGTCCATATCTTGTTGCTCGGCGTGGATTTCGGCGCAGAGTGCTGCTTCGGAGATTCTTCCATGGGCTCGGAGGATGGCTTTGGTGGCGCGCCATTGAGGATCGAGGCCGCCGATGACGACTGATACGAAGGCGTCTTCGGATATTGACCCTCCGCATCGAAGGAGTTTGTCGCGCAACCTGCGACAGCGACTAATATATGCCAGCCCCTTTTCTCCTGGTTTCATTTCGACTGTTGTCAACTGCGCCATTAACCTGCTTTGGTTTACACTGTCTGTTGCTTGATACAGGCTCTTCAGGTGGCTGTATGCAAGCTCCGCCGAGTTGCCGAAGGCCCGGTAAGACCGTATGTTCTGCTGTTGCGTTGGTGTGATGTTCCTCAGTAGGATTGTGTACGCCATCATTGACTGATAGGTGTACTGCTGCTTCTCGTACTGTGTGCCGTTTGTTGGGTATGGCAGGGACCCGTCGAAGAAGCCAAGTATCTGCGCGCCTTCCATCATCAACTCGAACTCGAATGACCAAGTAAAGAAGTCCTTTCCGTCGAAAGGTCTTGATGTCTGCATCTTCAGAACGTGCGCGAATTGCGATTGAACTTGTAGTGCGTCCAGTGGTTTTTCTTGTCCAGGTGGAGCTTGCGGGTGCGGCATGAAGCTGATGGACCCGCGTTCGTACGGAGCAAAGGTAGGTTGCTGCTGTTGGTTTCCGCGCGCATATGATGACCCGTCGAGACTCATAAGAGTCGCTCCGTTGTTGTTGCTGTTGTGTGACTGCGCAGGTGCCGATTGCTGGTGTTGTTCGTAGAACGACATGAAGGAGAAGAACTTCTCCATCATGCTCTGGTCGAAATCCGCAGGGTGATTTGCGGGAGTCTCAGTAGACGTCGCCCTTGGTCTTGTTGCCGTGCCCTCCTCTGTCTGCAGGCCAGAGGCAGGAGGTGGAGTAGGAGTAGTACCCGGGGAGCCGTTAGAGGAGCTCCTTTCCTTGTTTGTTGCCATGTCTTGTGATGTATCTGATGTCTTGGTAGTGGTTGAGTTCCCCTTGTGAGCTCTCATACCATGTTGGGCTGAAGAAAATCCTTAGGATCTTTTGCAAGGGTAAACTCTGGGTAGGATAATGTTGTAACAGCGGAAGCTTAATGAAGAGGTTTGAACCACCTTGCGCTAGTATGTGAGGGCAAAGTAGATTGATTATAGCGAGGAAGTACAAGATTATATAATGGTACAAGGAATATGAAAAGATGCAGTTATAACTACTTTACTGTTGCTGTTGCGGTTCGATACAGTACGACTCGGGCAACTGCTCTGTAACGAGTCAGTTGTGTGTCCTTACTGTCGCGCTGCACTTGTCAGGTCAAAGGTCGCTGACCTTTGACTTTCGCGTAACCTCCAGCAACCTCTCAACCTTTGAGGGTTGACTCGCGGGTGCTTCGATATGGTTTGCCTCGCTTCTGGTGTGGTGTTTCGACACGACAGAGGCGCTTAAGATTTACTGTTTCCAACAAAGACGTTCTTGAGTAGAATGGTCACACAAGTTGGTACGGAAAAAAATCGAGCCAAGTTACAGGTGCAAGCAAATTCGCGAAGGTGTGGTATGAGTTGATTAAGTTGTCCAACAAAGGTACACTTTTAGTATGAGAAGAAGAGGGAGAATATCTGATACTGTAATGTGCTACGTGTTATTAGCCATGCATCTCATTCCTGCCTTGTTTGAATTTCAAAAGACTGTAAACACCGTGTGAACGGCAGTAACATAATCCGTCCGGTAACGGAGAATTTCGTACCGGGTTTAGATCGGAGTTGTCCAGCCGTCCCACACACCACAAACCTATACCCTCAACCCTTTCCCGAATCCCGAATTTGGAAAGAACGCGAGCAGATTTGGCAGCACCCAGCACAGCACGTCTCTACTCTCCGCAACCCACGCATCCTAGAAGTAGTTTTTGTCTATCCCATCGCGCGTGGTTATAACGGGCGACATGGCGGCGGTGAGCGCGGACGCGGTGTGCGCGTGGCTGCTGCAGACGACGAGCGCGGACGAGGCGGCCGTGCGATCCGCCAGCTCAGCGTTGGAGGAAGCTTCCAAGCACCCGGGATTCCTGGGCCACGTGCTTTCCGTCGCAGCAGGTGCTCAGAATTTGCTGTTTCCCTTCCATTACACTTCCCCTCTGCTCGCCCGGCTCCCCACTTCGCGTATTCGCCGTTCACTTTACTTAGGATTCTAGACACGAGCTACAGTTACCCGCATTCTCAAATAAGGTCAAGCTACGTTCGTCTCTTCTTCACCCTTATCCTTATTCACATTCTGATTCTCGCCGTGCGTTCTCTCGCGGGAAGACGTGTCCTTTCGTTCCCTTTCCAACTGATCTCGACCGTACGATGCAAGCTCAGCCCGTGCCTACGAGATCTGGACCGTACCGTCCCCGCTGCCCTCGATTTCAACCACATTGCAAGCTGCACGCAGCAATTGGAATCAACACGCCGTACGGTACCTTACTCCTCTCAAGAGGAGAAGTTTCTACGGTACGGTACCTTACTCCTCTTCTGTATTGACTCAAGAAACTATTTTAAAGTCACCCCATACGGTACATTACCCCTCCCTTTCTCCGTCCCCTTGCCCTCCCCTCCTCCAGTCTCCGCATTCCCCGCGTCCCTCCCCTCGACCTTGTGCTTCAAGAATGCGGAGTTGGCGCGGTGGCGCCTTTGCATCAAGCCCACTCCCTCCAACTCCCCCCATCCGCTGCGCTTCCCCCTTCCCCTTCCGCCCTCTCCCCCGCCAGTGCCCAATTCCCCAGCAGCCCTCCCCGCGGCCCTGTATTTCAAGAACGTGGCGGTGGCGAAGTGGCGGGGCGCGGGCAGCAAGGGGCGGGTGCAGCTGCCGGGGGGGAAAGAGGAGCAGGAGGCGGTGCGGGTTCAACTGGTGGAGGTGCTACTGCGGTGCGGGCAGGGGAAGATTCTGAGCGTGCTTATTGAGGCGGTATGTGTGGTTCTAGGGGAAGTAACTTGCCTGTAGGTAGATAGAGAGGGAATATGAGTGACTGTACCAGGAGGAGCAGGAGACGGTGCGGGTGCAACTGGTGGAGGTGCTACTGCGGTGTGGTCAGGGGAATATTCTGAGCGTGCTTATTGAAGCGGTATGTGACTGCAGCAGGGAGGGCTTGCTCTAAAGGGGGTGTGACCCTCACACAGGGAGCAGGAGGCGGTGCGGGTGCAGCTGGTGGAGGTGCTACTGCGGTGCACCCAGGGGAAGATTCTCAGCGTGCTTATCGAAGCGGTATGTGACTGTTAAGGAGGGAAGGTGCCTGTAGGTGTATATAGAGGGAATATGAGAGACGTTACCAGCCACAGGGAGCAGCAGGCGGTGCGGGTGCAGCTGGTGGAGGTGCTACTGCGGTGCTCGCAGGGGAAGATTCTCAGCGTGCTTATCGAAGCGGTATGTGACTGTAAAGGAGGGAATGTGCCTGTAGGTGTATATAGAGGGAATATGAGAGACGTTACCAGCCACAGGGAGCAGCAGGCGGTGCGGGTGCAGCTGGTGGAGGTGCTACTGCGGTGCTCGCAGGGGAAGATTCTCAGCGTGCTCATTGAGGCGGTATGTGTGGTTCTCGAGGAGGGAATGTGCCTGTAGGTAGATTGAGAGTGCGTATGAGTGACTGTACAGGGAGGAGCAGGAGGCGGTGTGGTTGCAACTGGTGGAGGCGCTATTGCGGTTCAAACCGGGGAATATTTTCAGCGGGCTTATTCAAGCGGTATGTGACTATAGAGGGAACAAATATGTGATGCAGCTGGTGACCGAGAGCTGTTCAGCTAGTTAACATCCTCGCAGCAGGTTTCTTTTCGCAAAGCCTGCTTTCCTCCCCTTCACCGCCCTTCCCCCTGCTTGCCCCCTCCCTTCCCTCAATCCTCCCTTCCCATCAGTTCTCTGCTGTCGTGCGCCCGAGTTAGCGTCCCCCTCCCGCTGGCCCCAGCTGCTCCCGGGCCTCTTGAGTCCCCTCGCCCTCATCTCCCCTCCCCGCTCCTCCCCTCCCCCTCTGCGCCCATCCCATCAGTTCTCTGCAGTCGTTCGCACCGAATTGGCTTCCCCCTCCGGCTGGCCCCAGCTGCTACCGGGCCTCAAAGCCGCTTTGCTCTCCAGCGATCTCATCCGAGCCGTCGGTTCCGCCTCCACTGCTGCTGCTGGGCCGTCGGATCCTGCCTCTGCAGCAGCAGCAGCAGCGACATTCTCTACAGTCACTGTGCTTACTGTACTTCGCGCCGTCACCAAGCCATACCGGGTATGCTGTGATATATCTTGAGCTGCTTCAAAAGTCATTCTCTACAGTCACTGTGCTTACAGTCCTTCGTGCCGTCACTAAGCCATACCGGGTACGCCATGCTCTGGTGATTATGGTTGTACCGCTTTTGAGAGTGTTTTGGGTCGACTCAAAACATGAGCCATGCCGAGTATTCCCTTCTCAGGTGATTATGGATGTACCTCCTTTGAGAGTTCAAAGAAGTGATACAACCGTAGTCCTTTGCTTCACACCTTCAACATCCATCCAGGGTATCTCTTTCCAGGATTGTCTCAATGCGTCATAGACCCTTCCAGCCGCAAGGAGCCAGTACCACGGTGCCACCTGTGCTGGAATCAATTTTGATACCCAAGGCTCCTTTTCCTGCGGTTCTCGCCTCTCCACTCTCTCGTTTCCCCTCGTCGCCACAGTACTTCCTCGTCCCTACCAACGACAAGGAGCCGGTACCACCAGTGCTGGAAGCGCTGCTGCCACCCATGCTCTTCTGTCTTCCACTCCCTCTTCTCCCGTCCCCACCACAGTACTTCCTCGACCCTACCAATGACAAGGAGCCGGTACCACCAGTGCTGGAAGCGCTGCTGCCACCCATGCTCTTCTGTCTTCCACTCCCTCTTCTCCCGTCCCCACCACAGTACTTCCTCGACCCTACCAATGACAAGGAGCCGGTACCACCAGTGCTGGAAGCGCTGCTGCCACCCATGCTCTTCTGTCTTCCACTCCCTCTTCTCCCGTCCCCACCACAGTACTTCCTCGACCCTACCAATGACAAGGAGCCGGTACCACCAGTGCTGGAAGCGCTGCTGCCACCCATGCTCTTCTGTCTTCCACTCCCTCTTCTCCCGTCCCCACCACAGTACTTCCTCGACCCTACCAATGACAAGGAGCCGGTACCACCAGTGCTGGAAGCGCTGCTGCCACCCATGCTCTTCTGTCTTCCACTCCCTCTTCTCCCGTCCCCACCACAGTACTTCCTCGACCCTACCAATGACAAGGAGCCGGTACCACCAGTGCTGGAAGCAACGGCTACTCATGTTCTCCTCTTCCTCTCCTCTCTTTCTTCTTTGACTCCCCCCTCCCCTTCCCCACAGTACTTCCTCGACCCTACCAACGACAAGGAGCCAGTGCCGCCAGTGCTGGAGGCCATTGCATCAGACCTGCTGCTGCCACTCATGTTCCCCTCCGCCTCTTCTTCCTCCCCCCTTCCCCTCCCCCACAGTACTTTCTCGACCCTACCAGCGACAAGGAGCCAGTGCCACCTGTGCTGGAGGCCATTGCGGCAGAACTGCTGCTGCGACTCAGCTTTCCCTCTCTCTCTTCCACTTCTTCCTCTCCTCTTCACCGCAGTATTTCCTCGACCCTACAAATGACAAGGAGCCGGTGCCGCCAGTGCTGGAAGCCATTGCATCGGACCTGCTGCTTCCCATCATGCCCCTCATGCACCACCTCATTGCGGCCCAGGTGTGACTGCCTGTTTGATTAGCACGGGCATTGCAGAGCATGGCATCGCATGGCATGGTATCACATGGCATTACATTACATTCATGCGGGAAGCCATTGCATCGGACCTGCTGCTGCAACTCATGGCGCTCATGCACCACCTCATTGCGGCTCAGGTGTGTGCCACTGCATGAATGGTACAGCATCGCATGGCATGGCATGATCATGTGTGAAGCCATTGCATCGGACCTGCTGCTGCCGCTCATGCCGCTCATGCACCACCTCATTGCGGCTCAGGCGTATGTCACTGCTGGACATGTGATGTGTGTGTTCATGAGACAGTGCAGTGCAGTGTTGGCATTGCACGGCAGGACATGTCACATGGCATGGCATTAAATAACATGATAGTGCTGGAAGCGATTGCATCGGACCTGCTGCCTGCCACTCATGTCGCTCATGCACCACCTCATTGCGGCTCAGGTGTGACTGCATGAATGGAGTGGGATTTCATGGCCAAAGCATGTAATTACATGGTATGATAGTGCTGGATGTCAGCCATTGCATCGGACCTGCTGCCGTAACGCATGCCCCTCCCTCATGCACCACCTCATTGCGGCTCAGGTGTGTGTGACTGCTGGATGGGTGATGTGCATGGTATGGTACGGCACGGCATGGCATGGCACGGCATGGCATGGCATGGCATGGCATGTCATGGCATGGAATGATCATGTGTGAAGTGATTGCATCGGAGCTGCCACTGCCGCTCATGTCACTCTTGCAGTGCCTTATTGCAATGCAGTCGAGTGCATGATGAGTGATGTGTTGTGTGCCGTAACAAGCATGGCAAATGACACTGCATTGCACGGTCATGCTAGCATCTGTCTCATCGGACCTACAGCTGCCGCTCATGCCATTCATGCCCCTCCTTTCCCTATCTCGCCTCGCCTGCGTGCGTCTCATGCCCCCCCTCTCCTCTCGCTGTACCCCATGCGCAGCAGCCAAATCCCCAAGCACCATCCGCACAGGATGAAGCTCTGCTGCTCATTCTCAAGACTCTCCACCTCTCCGTGAGTGCGCCTGTCAGCACCTCCATCCTTCTGTCTCCCACCCGTTGTCCTTCTGTCAACTCGCCCTGCACCGCCCTTTGACAAAGTTCCCCTTTGTTTCATTCCCCCCTCTCAAAAGCCCTCCACCTCTCTGTGAGTATGCCTATGGAGGAGGGAGCGGTTCTCTCTCAAGTCAACTTCCTCCCCTGCTCACATCCACAGCATAGTCCAGTCCAGAGCTGCTTCTGTCGCTGCTGCTGCTGCTGCTGCTGCTGCTGCTGCTGCTGCTGCTGCTGCTGCTGCTGCTGCTGCTGCTGCTGCTGCTGCTGCTGCTGCTGCTGCTGCTTCTGCTCCAGCCGCTGCTGATCTCACACTGCCGCTTACTGTTTGAGGCGTCTTTCCTACCCTTGCTCCCACCCCCCTACCTCAGGTTTAGAGCCACATGCCATCGGCCATCCGCAAGCACATAGACAGCATTGTTCCTGAGCTGCTGCTGCTGCTCTCGCACTGACTTCTCCCCTTGCTCTTATTTTCGTGCCACAGGTTCAGAGCCACATGCCATCGGCCATACGCAAGCACATAGACAGCATAGTCCCAGAGCTGCTGCTGCTGCTCTCGCACTGCCCACCCACCCTCGCAGCAGCAGCGGCGGCAGAAGGGCAGGAGGAGGGCGAAGTGATGGATGGGGAAGGGGAGGCAGAGGGGATAGGTGCAGCCGCAGTGTGGGAGGTGCGGTTGAAGGGGTGCAAGCGCGCACTACAGATCTGCCATGCTCTGGCCAGTCGGCACCAGAAGCTGACCAACAAGTGAGTGGGCTTTGATGCTGTTCTTAGTGCTACCAGGTAATTCCCTCAGAATGAACGAATATGCACATGGGTTTAGCACGGGCCAGCCGCCACCAGAAGCCCATGCTATCACCACACACCAACAAGTGAGCGCTGGTGCTTCTAGTGCCAGTGGGTAAAGCATCAAACAGAAAATGCAAGCAAGTTTGGCACCACTAAGACGTTCTCTTCATGCTTCCGTTCATCTCGGCATTCCCTTCCCCATCTTCCCCTCCCCTTGCCCTGTCTCTCCCATATTCTTATGCGCCTTCCAGGCACTTTCCGGCCATGGTTGATGGCATCACGGCCATCGTCTGCAACTCGCTGTGGACCAGTCAGGTGCGGACACGTGGCAGAAACTCTGCTTGCTTGCTGTGCCACGTGGGCGCTGTTGCCGCCCTCCTTTCCACTATGTTTCTGCTTGGTAATCCATCGAATGATCATATTTGTGGTGCGGCGTATTGGTACTATGCGGTACTAAACGGTACTATACGCTATCATGCCATAGCACAGTTGTGCTCGGTATCAACACTGTTTGTTGGCGTCACGGCAACGTTCGTTGTTATCACTGATTCATCCTGTGTGACAGCTTTTTGTTGAAAAGGCTCTTTCCTCCCTCTGACCCCCACCCCCGAGAATTCTTTCACCGTTCTTGTCGAATCCCCATTCATTCCAGCTCCCATTAGCGGCCCGCCGCGTCATAGCAGTGGCGTTCACAGCCATAGCTCAAGTGCTCGATTCCGCTCCGGTAAGCTTTTTCGGGTCGACCCTAAATTCACTTCCTCACAATGTCACACCGACCCAAGCCATGCCTTCCACGAATTATTATGTGCATACAGCTTCCTCTAACTATGAGCTCCCCCTCTCGTCCCATGCCCTCGTCCTTGTAAGTTAGATGTCTCCACGCCCCCAACTCCCCACGCCCTCATTTCCCCACGCCCTCATTTCCCCACGCCCTCATGTCCCCACACCCTCATGTCCCCACGCCCTCATTTCCCCACACCCTCATGTCCCTCCACCCATGTCCCCACACCTATGTCCCCACACCCATGTCCCCACGCCCATGTCCCCACACCCATGTCCCCACACCCATGTCCATTGCCCACGCCGCATGCCTGACTGTCCACAGGGCTGGAAGGTGGTAGGTTCCCAGTTCAGCCATCGGCTGGAGGCGAATTGGAGAGCCACAACCTCAGCGTGATGGGGTTGACGCCGCTGGGGTTCGTGCTGGACCCCCTTTATTCCCCCATGCATGCTCCCACTCCCCCATGTCCATGTATCCACAGGGCTGGAAGGTGGTGGCTCCGCAGTTCGCGCATCTCCTAGAGGCCGCCATCTTCCCTGTGCTCTGCCTGCACCCCCAAGTGAGCCCCCCACTTCCCCTCCCCTCCATCCCCCCTTATGCTCATCTTCCCAGTGCCCTGCCCGAATCCCCAAGTGAGTGTGAGACCGCCCTTCCCCCCCTCATGTTGCTGTGGTGAAGGTACATCGGCTGTACTGAATTTGTGCTTGCAAGAATGTCACTCACTCACTCACTCACTCACTCACTCACTCACTCACACACACCCATAGTCTTGAACTATAACCCGCATGCTTCGTCTCCGATTCCCCACCTTGTTTTCTGCGGTGTTTGCTCTTCCTGGTCTAGGATTTGCATATAAGGAGCGTATTTTGTGGGTTATTTTTTTTTGGGCGGCAGGATTTGGAGCTGTGGGAAGAGGACGAGGAGGAGTACGTACGTCGGAATCTACCCACAGATTTGGTGAGTGGCGAATGTTGTTGTTGTTCTTCTCCTTCTGGTTACTACGATTACGTACGCTCCACGTGCCGAGAGCATCAGTGATTATGGTAACATTTGTAACACCAGAAGCTGCGTCTTCCATCCTCCTCCTATCACTCTCCTTCATTTACGTCCTCATTTCGCCCCCCTTCTCCTTTCTGTCGTTTCGTGTGACCAGAATGACATGGATGAGATCGAGAGCTATGACCCGCGGCAGTATGATTTACCAGGCGCCTCAGAAACAAGCACTTCTATGCCCTCCCCTCTTCCCCCTTTTCTTTTTGACATTTCCGTGACCAGGATGACATGGATGAGATCGAGAGCTATGACCCACGGCAGTGTGCTTTTTTAATGCCTCTCAGATTCCACTTTTCCCTTCCTCCATGATTCTTCACCTTTCGTGTGACCAGGATGACATGGATGAGATTGAGAGCTATGACCCACGGCAGTGTGCTGCTCACCTGCTGGCGCTCATTGCCACCTCCAAGGTAGAGTGTGGTGTGGTGTGGTGTGGTGTGGTGTGGTGTGGTGTGGTGTGGTGTGGTGTGGTGTGGTGTGGTTTGGTGTGGTGAGGTGTGGTGTGGTGTACCATCACCCAGTTGCTGTTACGTACATGCATGATACATGACCCGCAGCAGTGTGCCGCTCACCTGATGGCGCTCATTGCCACCTCCAAGGTAATGCGGCGTGGTGTGGTGTGGTCTAGTGTGGTGGGGTGTGGTGTGGTGTGGTGTGGTGTGGTGTGGTGTGGTCTAGTGTGGTGGGGTGTACCATCACCAAGGTGCTGATAAATACATGGATACATGCACGCGACATTCATGCATACTTGCATGTACACATGCGTGCGTGCATAGCATACCATATGAGTACCCCCTTCTCCACGCACTCGTTCTATGTGTTATCCATCCCCCCTTTTGCCGTTCCTGTCGACTTATGAGGCACCTCAAAAGTCATCTGTGTAACCTTTCTTCCCCTTGCCCTTCCTGCTGCATGCGCAACGCAGGGAAGCCCAGCCAAGAGAAAGCGGGGTGCAGCAGGAGCCGCCGCAGCAGCTGGCAGGCAGGAAGGAGGAAACGGAGGTTGCCCCACTTGCTTGTCCCACTTGTTACTCTCTTCTCCCTTGCCCTTCCTCCCACATATGCACAACACAGGGAAGCCCAGCCAAAGGCAAGCCGGGCGCAGCAGCAGCCACAGCAGGTGGAGACGATACGGTCCTCACTTACTCTTCAGACCCTACTCTCATCTCGCTCCACACTTGCCCATTCCCTCTGACAACACAGGGAAGCCCAGCCAAGGGCAAGCCGGGCACAGCAGGAGCAGCAGCAGGTGCAGCAGCAGGCGGAGACAATACGGTCCTCACTTACTCTTCAGACTCAACTCATCTCGCTCCACACTTGCCCATTCCCTCTGACAACACAGGGAAGCCCAGCCAAGGGCAAGCCGGGCACAGCAGGAGCAGCAGCAGGTGCAGCAGCAGGCGGAGACAATACGGTCCTCACTTACTCTTCAGACTCAACTCATCTCGCTCCACACTTGCCCATTCCCTCTGACAACACAGGGAAGCCCAGCCAAGGGCAAGCCGGGCACAGCAGGAGCAGCAGCAGGTGCAGCAGCAGGCGGAGACAATACGGTCCTCACTTACTCTTCAGACTCAACTCATCTCGCTCCACACTTGCCCATTCCCTCTGACAACACAGGGAAGCCCAGCCAAGGGCAAGCCGGGCACAGCAGGAGCAGCAGCAGGTGCAGCAGCAGGCGGAGACAATACGGTCCTCACTTACTCTTCAGACTCAACTCATCTCGCTCCACACTTGCCCATTCCCTCTGACAACACAGGGAAGCCCAGCCAAGGGCAAGCCGGGCACAGCAGGAGCAGCAGCAGGTGCAGCAGCAGGCGGAGACAATACGGTCCTCACTTACTCTTCAGACTCAACTCATCTCGCTCCACACTTGCCCATTCCCTCTGACAACACAGGGAAGCCCAGCCAAGGGCAAGCCGGGCACAGCAGGAGCAGCAGCAGGTGCAGCAGCAGGCGGAGACAATACGGTCCTCACTTACTCTTCAGACTCAACTCATCTCGCTCCACACTTGCCCATTCCCTCTGACAACACAGGGAAGCCCAGCCAAGGGCAAGCCGGGCACAGCAGGAGCAGCAGCAGGTGCAGCAGCAGGCGGAGACAATACGGTCCTCACTTACTCTTCAGACTCAACTCATCTCGCTCCACACTTGCCCATTCCCTCTGACAACACAGGGAAGCCCAGCCAAGGGCAAGCCGGGCACAGCAGGAGCAGCAGCAGGTGCAGCAGCAGGCGGAGACAATACGGTCCTCACTTACTCTTCAGACTCAACTCATCTCGCTCCACACTTGCCCATTCCCTCTGACAACACAGGGAAGCCCAGCCAAGGGCAAGCCGGGCACAGCAGGAGCAGCAGCAGGTGCAGCAGCAGGCGGAGACAATACGGTCCTCACTTACTCTTCAGACTCAACTCATCTCGCTCCACACTTGCCCATTCCCTCTGACAACACAGGGAAGCCCAGCCAAGGGCAAGCCGGGCACAGCAGGAGCAGCAGCAGGTGCAGCAGCAGGCGGAGACAATACGGTCCTCACTTACTCTTCAGACTCAACTCATCTCGCTCCACACTTGCCCATTCCCTCTGACAACACAGGGAAGCCCAGCCAAGGGCAAGCCGGGCACAGCAGGAGCAGCAGCAGGTGCAGCAGCAGGCGGAGACAATACGGTCCTCACTTACTCTTCAGACTCAACTCATCTCGCTCCACACTTGCCCATTCCCTCTGACAACACAGGGAAGCCCAGCCAAGGGCAAGCCGGGCACAGCAGGAGCAGCAGCAGGTGCAGCAGCAGGCGGAGACAATACGGTCCTCACTTACTCTTCAGACTCAACTCATCTCGCTCCACACTTGCCCATTCCCTCTGACAACACAGGGAAGCCCAGCCAAGGGCAAGCCGGGCACAGCAGGAGCAGCAGCAGGTGCAGCAGCAGGCGGAGACAATACGGTCCTCACTTACTCTTCAGACTCAACTCATCTCGCTCCACACTTGCCCATTCCCTCTGACAACACAGGGAAGCCCAGCCAAGGGCAAGCCGGGCACAGCAGGAGCAGCAGCAGGTGCAGCAGCAGGCGGAGACAATACGGTCCTCACTTACTCTTCAGACTCAACTCATCTCGCTCCACACTTGCCCATTCCCTCTGACAACACAGGGAAGCCCAGCCAAGGGCAAGCCGGGCACAGCAGGAGCAGCAGCAGGTGCAGCAGCAGGCGGAGACAATACGGTCCTCACTTACTCTTCAGACTCAACTCATCTCGCTCCACACTTGCCCATTCCCTCTGACAACACAGGGAAGCCCAGCCAAGGGCAAGCCGGGCACAGCAGGAGCAGCAGCAGGTGCAGCAGCAGGCGGAGACAATACGGTCCTCACTTACTCTTCAGACTCAACTCATCTCGCTCCACACTTGCCCATTCCCTCTGACAACACAGGGAAGCCCAGCCAAGGGCAAGCCGGGCACAGCAGGAGCAGCAGCAGGTGCAGCAGCAGGCGGAGACAATACGGTCCTCACTTACTCTTCAGACTCAACTCATCTCGCTCCACACTTGCCCATTCCCTCTGACAACACAGGGAAGCCCAGCCAAGGGCAAGCCGGGCACAGCAGGAGCAGCAGCAGGTGCAGCAGCAGGCGGAGACAATACGGTCCTCACTTACTCTTCAGACTCAACTCATCTCGCTCCACACTTGCCCATTCCCTCTGACAACACAGGGAAGCCCAGCCAAGGGCAAGCCGGGCACAGCAGGAGCAGCAGCAGGTGCAGCAGCAGGCGGAGACAATACGGTCCTCACTTACTCTTCAGACTCAACTCATCTCGCTCCACACTTGCCCATTCCCTCTGACAACACAGGGAAGCCCAGCCAAGGGCAAGCCGGGCACAGCAGGAGCAGCAGCAGGTGCAGCAGCAGGCGGAGACAATACGGTCCTCACTTACTCTTCAGACTCAACTCATCTCGCTCCACACTTGCCCATTCCCTCTGACAACACAGGGAAGCCCAGCCAAGGGCAAGCCGGGCGCAGCAGGAGCAGCAGCAGGTGCAGCAGCAGGCGGAGACAATACGGTCCTCACTTACTCTTCAGACTCAACTCATCTCGCTCCACACTTGCCCATTCCCTCTGACAACACAGGGAAGCCCAGCCAAGGGCAAGCCGGGCACAGCAGGAGCAGCAGCAGGTGCAGCAGCAGGCGGAGACAATACGGTCCTCACTTACTCTTCAGACTCAACTCATCTCGCTCCACACTTGCCCATTCCCTCTGACAACACAGGGAAGCCCAGCCAAGGGCAAGCCGGGCACAGCAGGAGCAGCAGCAGGTGCAGCAGCAGGCGGAGACAATACGGTCCTCACTTACTCTTCAGACTCAACTCATCTCGCTCCACACTTGCCCATTCCCTCTGACAACACAGGGAAGCCCAGCCAAGGGCAAGCCGGGCACAGCAGGAGCAGCAGCAGGTGCAGCAGCAGGCGGAGACAATACGGTCCTCACTTACTCTTCAGACTCAACTCATCTCGCTCCACACTTGCCCATTCCCTCTGACAACACAGGGAAGCCCAGCCAAGGGCAAGCCGGGCGCAGCAGGAGCAGCAGCAGGTGCAGCAGCAGGCGGAGACAATACGGTCCTCACTTACTCTTCAGACTCAACTCATCTCGCTCCACACTTGCCCATTCCCTCTGACAACACAGGGAAGCCCAGCCAAGGGCAAGCCGGGCGCAGCAGGAGCAGCAGCAGGTGCAGCAGCAGGCGGAGACAATACGGTCCTCACTTACTCTTCAGACTCAACTCATCTCGCTCCACACTTGCCCATTCCCTCTGACAACACAGGGAAGCCCAGCCAAGGGCAAGCCGGGCGCAGCAGGAGCAGCAGCAGGTGCAGCAGCAGGCGGAGACAATACGGTCCTCACTTACTCTTCAGACTCAACTCATCTCGCTCCACACTTGCCCATTCCCTCTGACAACACAGGGAAGCCCAGCCAAGGGCAAGCCGGGCGCAGCAGGAGCCGCAGCAGCTGGCAAGTCCACGTCACCAGCAGCAGGCAGAAGGAGACAGCGAAGGCCGGCCGCCACCAAGGACACTGACGCAGCAGCTGCTACAGTGGTTCTTCCATTCCTCTCCAGGTGTGTGCGTGCGTGCATATGTATGGTTCCTCTGTTGAAAAGGCCTGCATCAGCAGGCAGGAGGTAATTGAGAAGTGCTATCTTGTCATACTGTATCCTACTCTTTTCCTTTGGTTCTTCCTCTCCTGCATCCACTCCGGTGCTCCCTCCCCTGCCTTCTCCAGGTTTCCTCTCCCAGTGGATGCCGCCATGCCAATGGATGGATGGCATGTTTGTAGCAGGGGCAGGGGGAGGCCAGGCTCCTGTCAGTGCTGCTGTTGATTCACCTCAAAAACACTCTTCCTGCTCTGCCCTCTCTCCAGGTTTCCTCTCCCAGTGGATGCCGCCGTGCCAATGGACGGCATGTTTGTAGCAGGGGCAGGGGGAGGTCAGGCTGATAAGAACTGCCAGTGCTGCCAGTGCTGCTAAGAACTTTTCTCCCTGTCCTGCCCTG